CCCCCCCCCCCCCCAGAAAAAAAAATAGAGAAAAAGGTTTAAACAGTTTCAGAAGAGTTCATCAAGCAGCAGAATAAAGAACTGTCAAGATGTTACACGAGATGATTGGCAACATTGTTGCGACATTATTTCGAATGGTTACAACAGGCAGCCGTTACAACATTGTTTCAATATTGCAACGCTGTGCTGCGCTAAAAATCGCAACCTGGGTCAAAATTTCTTAGATTCACAGGACGAAATGCAAAGTTTAAATTTTTTAATGCTTCTGGAAAGAATTGCGCATCATTGTCTATTCTTCCTTTATCCCTTACCGGTGTTCATACAAAGAATGGTTATGATGTAAATAAAAAACTTAATTCACAAAATTCTAAAGAGCACTGGCTTTATCTTTAAGTTATTAATAATTGATCGTTCATTGCTTTTGGGACAACGCAAATTCTTATTTCGATCACGTAGATGATAATCAAACAAGCAAGAATAATATTCGATGCTTGGCTATTTTTTCCCGTCGGTGAGTCATAAAAACGTATGTAACTGAGGTGGTTCAACTGATTAATCGACTCAGGCCAAAAGAGAGTCCCACTAAAATTAGCTTTTATTCATTTTTGCTTTGAAGAAGCAGAGTCAAAATATAGCTTTTTGGCTGAGAAGGTTACATTTTTAATCCACTATATTTTTGGGTCACTTAATATTTAGCGATTAGAAAAGCATTTGTGCCAAGCTACTGGAGGTCGTTGAGAGTTATAAAGTCGTTATTGCTTTACAGTGAAATCGGTATAAATCACTGAAAACAAAAACACATGTCGGTACACCGGATCAGAAAGGCAACCTTGAAAACTTTATCACTTTATCATACAAACTTTTAGAAAAACTGAAAAAAAAGCTTTCTTCGTCAATCATCAAAACCTATTGGTGCAGAAAAATAAGTCAAGATGGACTTCGACAACCAGTCCGCATTAATATTTGAGTCCGATTTTTTAATTATATGAATACTTTTTTTAATGTTAGAACCTGTAAAAGCAAGAAAAAAAACCACTTTGATACTGAGCACCGATCCAGGTGCACTGACTTTTGAACAGTGAATTGCCTTAGCTTTGCTTTGATTTTCAGCAGGTTTTAGAAATCAGAAGCAAATGCATATAGGCAAAACTGACGGGCCTGGTTTTACCTGTATACTGGCTGTTATCGCTTATTTTTATTATTTACTTAATATTTATTTATTTATTTATTTATTTATTTATTTATTTATTTTTGTCTCTCCTTAGTAGCTCAACTGTCTCAAAAAAGGTTTGGTCCGCCGAGCTTCGGGCCTATCATTTTTTTTCTCAGTTGCCTTTCAACTGCTTCGCGGCTTCATCTTATTACACTGACCAAAGTGCCCTGGGAGGGGAGGAGGGGGGGCACCCCAGGGCCAAAGTGTCCGAAAAAGTTATTCGAGAATTTTTTTCGTCCTTATTCAACCTCATAGTCATCTTTTTTTTTTTGCGAATTGAAACTGGGCATGAAGTGCTTGATGAATTGATTGGTAGGTGTTGTGTTATATACGGAGACGCCCTCCATGGGTTAAGTCGCATCAAGAGACAATAATCTCTCTTGCATTGGTCGCATATGCTATATAATGAACAGAAATGTAAACATGGCGTCATTGTAAATATTCGTCTATAGAGTAGGTTATTCAAAAAGTTTGTAATTACTAATAATTAACTACTTTCTTAGTGACAGAAATGAATTTCACCTGTATCTTTCTGTACACGCTCACTTGCTGGCTTTCCAAGATAACTATTGCAAGTCAATGTAAGGCAGCATCTTACTCCGTACAAGATCACGTGCTTATAAACCACACCATCAAGGCCGGGCCTGCAGAGCTGATTGAACACTGCATCTCTCGGTGCATAAGACATCCCAGTTGCCATAGCAGTAACTTTTATCGCCAGAGCAGATGGTGTGAACTGAATGATAAAACGCACGCTTCCCACCCTGAAGATATGAGACAAGTTCCATTTACAAACTACATGGAGAATACTCTCACACCACTCACCTGCAACAAAGACTCAGACTGCGGCAAAAATTTGATTTGTTTTGTATCGAAGTGCGTAGGTAAGGTTTAGTGACACACGCGCGAAGTATACATATATAACCTTGTAATTTTTTTTTCTTAATTTATGATTTGTTTACCCACGGAGCAGTTAGGAGTTCTTAAGAGCTCGTTGAAACGTGTCCGTGCGTTTCAGATCGAATTGGAACTTTTTGGAAGTGTTGGTTTTTAAGGAGAGGGTAAAACCGGAATAACCGTAGAGAAATCTCTCGGAGTAAAGGAGAGAACCAACAACAAACTCAACCCACATATGGCGTCGACGCCAGGATTCGAACCCGGGCCACCTGTGGTGGAGGCGAGTGCTCTCACCACTGCGCCACCCTTGCTCTTCATCACTCTTGTGATGCAGCACTTCGAAACTATGATAGACACAAATTGGGTCATGGCCAAGTATTTTTTGCTGGTATTTTGTTGACTTAATGGCAAAATGAAATACCATATATTCAACGTATTTGTTTTATCTCTTTTCCAGCTTTGCCCCTGGATCCGGGCTAGAGCTACAGGCCTTAACTCTGCATTATATTCACAGTTTTTCCGACGCAAATTTGACTCCCGTATCGAGTTCAATCGAGCTGTTCGCACTAACGAGAACAAGTACTAAACCTTACTTAAGGATGGGTTTCACAACGGAGTCAAACTTACATAATTTGCTGATCCAAATGTTTGCAAATAATGTCGTTTTTCTGTTTGGATCACTTAACAGAATGTAGTATTCATGCACTTGGAATGGAAAATAACCTTTTGCCGAATTCAGCCATCACAGCCTCCTCGGTATGGCCGGACCCTGGACACGAATCTTGGCTAGCTCGTCTAAATAATGTCCCAGTTGGCATATTTTGGGGCTCCTGGTCAGCGGCATCGAATGAAGCTGGCCAGTGGTTACAAATTGATCTCGGGGAGGAGAGGCTGGTGACAAAACTTGCTACACAGGGGAGGCCTTCCCCAGAGTGGCCTCAATGGGTGACGTCATACAAAATTTTGTTTAGTTTACACAACTATAAATGGGAGGAATACAAGGAAAATGATTTTGTGAAGGTATGCGATGCTGTTTTACTTTTTTTTTTCAAGAGGAATCTTTCACATACGAGGAAAGGCCATCGCCACCTGCCATCGCCAATTTCTTTTAATCCTTCAGAATGTTAAACTGTTAAAACATTTCGTTTCTGTTCTATTGCAGTTTTTGAGTTTGTATGATTGTGTTATACATTTATTAATCAGAATATGAATTTTATTGAAAGGTTAAAAAGCTAAAGGTAAGGTTATAGTGGAAAGTACACTTAGCTCATCCAGCTAGCTTACAGGCCCCCTACTTAAATAATTAGGAACAAATAATCCAAACAGCGGAGGATTAAAAACCCCAACTGGTGGGAGGCAACCAGTTGGCTACAAGCGTGGCCGAGGAATTGANCATCACAGCCTCCTCGGTATGGCCGGACCCTGGACACGAATCTTGGCTAGCTCGTCTAAATAATGTCCCAGTTGGCATATTTTGGGGCTCCTGGTCAGCGGCATCGAATGAAGCTGGCCAGTGGTTACAAATTGATCTCGGGGAGGAGAGGCTGGTGACAAAACTTGCTACACAGGGGAGGCCTTCCCCAGAGTGGCCTCAATGGGTGACGTCATACAAAATTTTGTTTAGTTTACACAACTATAAATGGGAGGAATACAAGGAAAATGATTTTGTGAAGGTATGCGATGCTGTTTTACTTTTTTTTTTCAAGAGGAATCTTTCACATACGAGGAAAGGCCATCGCCACCTGCCATCGCCAATTTCTTTTAATCCTTCAGAATGTTAAACTGTTAAAACATTTCGTTTCTGTTCTATTGCAGTTTTTGAGTTTGTATGATTGTGTTATACATTTATTAATCAGAATATGAATTTTATTGAAAGGTTAAAAAGCTAAAGGTAAGGTTATAGTGGAAAGTACACTTAGCTCATCCAGCTAGCTTACAGGCCCCCTACTTAAATAATTAGGAACAAATAATCCAAACAGCGGAGGATTAAAAACCCCAACTGGTGGGAGGCAACCAGTTGGCTACAAGCGTGGCCGAGGAATTGAACTAGAGACAACCAAGAACAAATCCAACAAGTGGCCAGAGCGGGACTTGAACCCGGGACTGCCGGATTGGGAGTCCAATGCGCTGACCTATCGGCCAAGCTGCCTCATCCAATCTGTGTCACAGTCATCACACATCAACCTCTGCCCGCCCATAACAGCCACTTGATCTTTGCCTTCAGCGAGAGCAATCGAGAGGTTTCTGTGCAATTATTTAAACGTAACTATCAGTAAAGAACTGGTTAGACGTGAACGTTTTCGCCGAATGTACTTATTCTCTTTGCAGGTTTTCACTGGAAATACTGACCGAAACACAATCGTGTCACATGCTGCAAAATTCCGGGCCAGATACGTGCGATTTGTTGTGTTAGCGTGGAATGGGCATATATCCATGCGAGTTGAGTTGTATGGCTGTGCTTACCATAACTGACAGTAGTGTCGTTCCTATTTTGATAACTGTGAGGCAATATTAGCCGATCCACTAAGGTGTCGTCGCATCAGCATATCCTGTAGTGTAGACTGAATCAGAATGCATAAAAGGCGGCGTTCAAAAACAATAGCAATAATCAATAATAATAATAATAATAATAATAATAATAATAATAAAAATAATAATAATAATAATAATAATAACAAAGAGACAGGGAAAGGTTGAACAGAAAATATCGTCTCGAGGAAAGGGGTACTGTGCACTTTGTTTCAGTTGGGCAGATGGAACTGAAGATATGACGAGAGATCAGAGAGATGTCAGTAGTTCAAACAGAATCAACTGTTTTCGAACTAACCAGAGGCTGTTTTATGAATTAACCGCTAGATGGGAGAGAACGAGGTGAAACAGAGTTAACTGAACCCACTGAAGCTACCACCTTTTGGAGTGGGATCTGGTATATAGGAAGAGGGTAGTCATGAGGACAAAGCATCTTGGCTAGAGGAATTTGAGCAGGAGTTCAGCACTGAACAAGACTGGCGTTGCTGCCTTTGCTCACTAAGTTCGCTTTTGTGGTCTATATTTTGGCGATTTTTTTTTCTGCATGTAACAAGTTATTCTTAGTTTAGGGGCCTTTCTCCCTCAAGATGTCGAGTGCCTGGCGCTGCATTCGGGAGGGATCAGGTTCCCTCCTATTAGCGGATTTTTCCCGACGGGCAGCAGGCAGCGCGTTTAAGTTCATAGAACATTATAGCTCAATCTGTAGCAATCTGTATGATGCTAACATCAATAAAGCGGGTCTGGTTCGTCCCTTTTTCAAAACTTAACTTCGATGTCAGCATCCTACAATTTTTTGTTATAATCAAGCAAGAAACTACCCTTGGTGCCAGAGGATTTTTTTTTCTTTCCTAATTTCTGATAGTTCGCGGGAGCTTTATCAAACCGACCACGGTTCATCATTTTCATCCTAGAGGTATTTCGAGAGCGGACCTCTGGAGCCAGGGTAGCAAGAAACTCAGAATGAAAATTAACATAGGGCGTTTAGTAGGGGCGCGTCTAATTCAAGTTTGTGGGACGTTAAACATGTTAAAGAGCCCATACTGTTCGTAAAGAGAGTAATGAGGGGGATGTATTCCCCAATGTGAAGGTCAATCTCAAATTCACCCTCACCTAGAACGCATCATTACTCATTTTTTTCTTACCTGTAAACAGCACCATAAGCAGTCTGGCAAATGTCTCCCCACCAGTGATGTAAATTATCCATGAAAGACCCTCAGAGAATAGTGGATAAATAATGAGATATTTACTATCTACAATATACCAGAAAAGACACTTGTTCTTGAATTAAAACCATACCTGAAACATATGAAACAAGATTCTCGGCCTTTTTTTGGAGTCAGTTTTCTCTCCGTGATTAATGACCTTGAGAAAGAGGAAACTAATTAATACATAGCGTTTAAAGCAACAATAAAAAATATCATCTGCGTGAATACGATAGAATGAAAAAGAAAACCAAAATATTGTTGATTATCTTGGCGCTTATATTTTCTATGCCAAGGAATAGATTAAACTCTTAATCGGCTCTTGAACCTAAATAACCTGAGCTCTGTTGTATTTCCATTATATTTATTGGGGGCACCCAACGACTTTTTTTGATCGAAACTGTGCGAAGGATCAAATATTAACTACAAGTCAGTCTGAAATTAGAGAAAAGCTGAAAAATTAATTTCAAAGAAATTTGGAGTTTTTCTACTAAACTTGCTAACAATTTTCTGAGCTTTCTTTTTCGCATTACAGACTGACGGAAGAACCGTCGTTGTACTGTTTCTATAGATTCCATCGCACCCAGCATACAGCATACAGCACGTACTCCTCACTATAAGTCACATCGTTTCAAAATGGATGGTAAAATTTTGGCGGGAACCTAATGTGCTTTAAAAAAATTATTCGCAATTTTCTCTACAAACTTATTTTTTACCACCTTTACTAGTTTTATAAGGTGGCTGAACACAGTTTGATAGGTGGTGAAAAGTTGCCATTCAGTCGTGTTATTCAATAGTAGTTGCAGGTGTAAAGCTCAGATTTGGGACAGACAAAATAATTTCATTTATGAGACAACATTTTTGGGGTTAAACGTAGGGTTTCTATTGTTGCCACGGAAACATGGATGATTCAAAACAAGCTTAAAATTTTAACTTATATTAATAGGTTTAGGCAGAATCCAGTCATCTGATCAGATTTCCTTATAAATTTGCACCACTTAGAATTATTAACACTCATCATTTAAAAGCATCTTAGCCAAATTGTAACAAAACCCTTAACTTTTGTTTTGAAAATTTTAAGACTAATAAGAAACTTGATTTTGTCACAAAACTCCATTAGTCAACTTTTAATTATTTTGAGACTTTCATTGACTGAAGTGCGATATTTCTGCCATATTTCGTCAAATTTTAATGAGTAGATTTTATGATATTGTCGCCTGTTTACATCGCCTGGGATAAAAGTCAACAAAACAAGCGCTCTCAAATTGCTCCCTACGTACGCACTCACAGTCTTGTTTACGAGCTGATATCAAAGGCGACGAAAACAGAGTATTTCTCACATTTTCCTCGCTCTTGTTTCTTTTAAGGCTCATTGTCGTTTGCTGCATATCTCCTCATGATAAAGATGATTATCAGTAAACGGATAATTAAAAAGCATTTATAGTTAATTAAACTGTGTTCAGCTACCTTACGCTAAACTGTTCTTAATTACCAACCGTTTTGGGGGTAATCTATTTCTCGGAAATAAACAATCGGTTATTATCCTATTAATAATTGATCTTCAGTTGCTTGAGTTTTTAGACAGTCGTTGAAAAAGTTTATTTCAATTTGTGTAAGAAAAGGGTAGATGAAACATCTCGAAAGCAAGATTACTAAAAGGCAACATCATTCATATTTCCCCAGTGGTAAGTTGAGCGTTCAGTAAGGTGCTTCGACACAGTTTTTCACAGAGGCCATACCGGTATTTTTCGATCGCCTTAAAAGTAGTTTTTGCTTGTACGATCACTACAAAATTTTCACCAGTAATTGGCTATGGATTGAAATTTGTGAAAAATGTAGTCTTAAGTAAAGCAATATTACTATGTGAAAACGTAGTTTTAAGTAAAATCAATTTTACTATGACAACAATAAACAAAAAACTTTGAAAATGATAAAAGCCGAACTTTGTGCGATCTAGACCAGCTACTGAAAATCCAACACTAGGAACTTATAATTAAAGTTTGGTGTTTAGCAAATAACCTCCTTAAGAAGTAAAAAATTCTGTATGTTCGAATTCGACTAAACCAAAATATATTTCAAACCTTAAATTTTCAATAGCCCTGATAATTTTTTTAATAAAAACGTTATAAATGACTCAAATTACTCTTAAGTATCGTCAGAATGCTGCTTAATATCAAATTTCAATGCGAGGAAATTTTGGTGTTTTTTCGTTCTTGCGATCTCGCCTTGCGGACACCCCGTTATAATGGACACCCTGACAATACGGGCTCTCGCTAAAAAAAAAAGGAACTTTTTATTTGAGTGTCAATGTATTTAGCACGAAAGTACTAATTGGGGACACTATTTTTACGTCTCCTGATGGAGACGGGACCGCCATTTTACGTGGTCATCCGAGCCACGCAAAGGTCTCGCCGCTTGCAGTGCAAAGGAAGTACCTTCATTTCTCAGTCATTTTAAGAGCCTGAGTAATGGTCCGGCCCCGGGAATCGAACCCGCGACCTCCAGTTCTACAGTCAGACGCTCTACCGACTGAGCTAATCCTGCCACGGTTAAATGATGATGAGGGCACTAATTTGAGGTCCCTACAGTGTCCACAATAAAGGGAGCTGACTGTAGCTGCGAAGGATCTATGTTTTAGAAGCCCAGGCGGGGGTGTTTAATAGACAAGAGGCGTTTGTACTATCACGATTTGTAATAATCACTTTGTTACACCTGTCTCAATTTGTAATTTGGTAATCACGGGCACACTTCTGTCGTATTTGGAAACATTCGGTCGTTGGGTGCCCCTGATTTAATCGTGAAGTGATCAGAAACGCATTTAATTTGAATATCCCACAGGTATCCCTCATTAGTTACCATAAATAAAACCGTTTTTGTTTTCCTAAAGATTTCATCACAAACACGACATGAAGTATTTCTTGAGTCATGTTTTAGACGAGTGCGTTGTTGAACAAGTGCACTCATTTTGCGATAGAAAAAGGTGATGGAACATCAGAATAAAAGCAATCTAAAAGTTCCAGAGGTAAGTTGAGCGTTAAAATAATCGGCAACTAGTCAAATCAACTCTTGGCTAAAATGAAAACATCACCAAAGGAAGCTGTGGTATCTAACCAGGCTCAAATACTGTACCATTCTTGTCACTCAAACGGTTTTACATTTCCAGTTCACAGAATCTTAATTGATTACCTAACTTAAGAGCGACCCGGTAGTCAAAAAATATCGATTATTGAGCAGGTGGCAATTAAAGAATGAAAAATCGATTTCTTTCAGGTTTTTTGTCCATAGATAGCTTTTACGTAAATAAGCGGTTTGATGGAGATTGTTTTCGCCGGCCGAAAGGCATGTTTTATTTTCGAGGAAAGTATGAATCAATAGCAGTTTTCGTGTCGGAGAATCAAAAAAGCCTAATTTTCAACCTGAAATTCGCGAACATCAACTCTCCTCGCGTTTAATTTGGAACAAAGGAGAAATTTCGGCACTTTCCATTATAAAGCAACTCTTTTTTCTTAGTCACTAGAAGATACTTTCAGGGAAAAAGTTATAGACTCTTCGAAATGACATGTGACCCATAATCAAAAAACAGCTTCTTTTTACAATTTGATTAACTACCCAGGGTGACCAAAATTAAATGCCAATATTTGAAAATCATCCTGTGACAACTCGCATTTAGGCTTGGTCTCCAGACGAAGGTGTCTCGATGCACCCCACATTTCTTCAGGTTATAGGGGGCGGGAGGGAGGGGGGCAACAGCGGGCGCATCGAGACACCCCCGGCTGGAGACCGAACTTAGCTGTGCGCTGAAAAGTGTAAACAATGTGGAGTCCTGATACGATGAATAAAGAGGTGGAACGCTACCCGCAATACTTGTACCCGTAATTAGTCTTCCCTGCCAAGTTTAGAGATGTTCATCAAGATGGCTGTTCTTTGCAACGGTAACATAAGTTAAAGAATTCGCCTTCCTTTTGTTGACAGAAATGAAGTTCACCTTTAAGATTATCCTTCTGCACCTGGCCATCTCCTGGTTTGCCAAGATAGCTTTTGCAGGTCAATGTAAGGCAGCATCTTACTCCGTACAAGATCACGTGCTTATAAACCACGTCATCAAGACCGGGCCTGCAGAGCTGATTGAACACTGCATCTCCCGGTGCATAGAACATCCCGGTTGCCATAGCAGCAACTTTTATCGGACGAAAAGATGGTGTGAACTGAATGATAAAACGCACGCTTCCCACCCTGAAGATATGAGACAAGTTCGATTTACAAACTACATGGAGAATACTCTCAGACCTTTTACCTGCATCACCCACCCAGACTGTGGCAGTAATTTGATTTGTTCTTTATCGAAGTGCGTAGGTGAGTTGGTAACGGTTCGCCACCAGGTAAACTCTTGATGCAAAATTATAAATGGGCAGTACGGTGCACAGTGTGCTTAGCTGGACAATTTCTTGCGCGCTGATCAGTCGAGGTTTCTCTTGTTGAAGAGCGTAGATAGTTCGATCGGTGACGGGTAACGCCCAGCCGGTTAGAAGAAACGTCTTGACCACTAAGGGCCCGGCTTTTATAAGAGGTAAACCAGCCCGGTTAGCGGGAATGGCTCGCCTAACAGTGCTGGATCGGCTAATACCTTGTTTCCTTTTAAAAACGGTCGTCTTGTTTATATATGAAAAGGCGGGCCGGCCTGCTCGCCTAATTCTCGGCTCGTCGCCTCTGATCGACAAGCCAGGCCAGCTCGGCTCACTCATATAAACACAACGACAATTTTAAAAGGAACCAAAGCATAAGCCAAGTCAACCTGGCTGACCAGGCTGGCTAACCTCATACAAACAGGCCCTATAGAGTCTTATGGTACTAAGTGTACATTGTGCACACGATGTAAAATTTCCTTCATTAATAAGTTACATACGACAAAACTATAGCACGTAAAAAAGAGGAGAGACAGTAGGTCACCGCACTTCTTCATTCACCTTCATTTTACATCTTTGATACATTGGCCACTGGACCCGGGCTGTGCATGGTTAAGTTTGCATTTATCTTCCAGATTCAATCTAGTCGTATTAAATATAGGTAACCGAACCTTCATACATCGAATAGAATCGATCGAGAGCTGTACACTCGTTGGTTTTATTACGGATCAAACGTGTTGATTGTGCGTTGTCCAACAAATTGTTAGTTGGTGTTGAATCCATACAACGGGACCAAATAAGTTTCAACTCTTTTATTTTACTAATTAGAAAAAGATCCAGCATCATCCACCAAGATTAAGTCAACGCCCAAAAAGGTGCTTATGTGGATCCAGCAATGACAATGTAATGGCCGAGATCTGAACGCATATCGAGTTCAGTTTAAGTTACATGTAGCCATAACTTGATGTAAAATAATAAGGTTTTTATTTTACTAATCGAAATTTCGGATTTTATTTACAGAATGCAGTATTTATGCACTTGGAATGGAAAACAATCTCTTGCCGAATTCTGCCATCACCGCCTCCTCGGTATGGCCGCACGCCACTGGACACGAATCTTGGAGAGCCCGTCTCAATAATAATGGGCACGCGGGCTGCTGGGTAGCGGGAAAAAAATAAAGTCGGCGAGTGGTTGCAAATTGACTTGACGAAGGAGAGGCTGCTGACAAAACTTGCCACACAGGGGAGGCCTGCCTCAAATCAAAGGGTGACGTCATACAGCCTTTGGTTGAGCTCAGACAACGTCAAATGGGAAGAATACATGGAAAATGGGGTTGTAAAGGTATGTGATGCTGATTTGATCAACAAGAATCCCACGTGATCCGGTCACCGAGAAATGAGGGGAAGTCTCATGCAAAGAATGAGCGAAGGGGTTAAGGGATCACATGGGTAGCCTGGGAGCGTCGAGCTCTTCTGTTTGCTGTTCTTTTCTGCTCTTACGATTAGTTTTGCGAGCTAAGCGGCAGACGTTCACTGCCGCGTGCCCTAAGGTTCTTTTTCTTCAATGACCGTGACCGCTTTAAATAATTTAAACTGTTACTTTTTGTATTAAAAGATTCTCCTAATGATCACGTTGAAGAGGACGACCAGGCCATCAAAATAACTTACCTTACACTACTACATGAGAAATTTCTGCAATTTGATTGGCTTAGAGCATCCTAGAAAATTCGGCAATCACGTGACCGTACACCGACCACCCGACCTTCCGTCCGTCCGCACCACAGGCATACCAATGTTTAATCTCACACTTTCTAGCTTGTTTGGGAGCCTGCAACCTGATATTGTACATCCATGTTTTGATTAATTAACAGCTGTCAAAACAGTGTTCCTGCTGACCAGTATCGCCTGACCGTATCGCCGGCTCAGGTATCGACCCTCTGAGTTCGAGTAATATTTTGAAGGTATTCGCTGACAAGTTGCTACTTTTCAAATGATCGCAGGCTCAAGTTCAATTTTTTTAAAATGCCTATGAAATAAGTCGTGTTTCATGAGCCGCACTTTTAAAATGTTGATTTCGAACTGATCTCGGACACGAAAATTCAACCGGCTTTTACATTTACATGCAGGGAAGGCAATCGCTTTTGACTTTTCTCACTGTCACGCGTTGATCACGCTCTACGTCCAGTTTTTATGTTCTGATTGGTCAAAATTTGACAGGTGAGTTTATGAGGAAAATTTTTGCAGCGTCTGGAAACTTGCTTACTGATAGCTGGAGCTGAGAGAGTTTTGTGTCATCTTGTGATGTTATAAACTGTCTTTTTCTACTTTGTGTACCAAATGAAATACAGCTGCTATCAAGATTGTTCTGTAATTCGTGGTTGGTTTGTTTATTGCGCTTTTTGTTGACAAATGCACCGCTTGTCGAAGTCATTGGAAATCCGATTTCGGATGGCATCGTTTTTAAAAATGAGCTTACTCACTGTACTTGCCCTTGCTTGAGGCGTAAGAAGGTTGAAAAGTCTCAAGCGATTCTGGAACACTTGATGACCTTCAGAAGCAGCATCTCGACTGGTAAGCTTGAGCCATTATTGTTTTTGATGTTTTTTTTTTCGGTTTCCTGAAGTCGAGCGTATGGTTTATGCGGCTTAAGTTAAAACACGAGCAACGATCTAACCTACAATAGTATCAGGTTTAAAAAGCCTTTAGACATTTTTTAACCCGCAAATTCAAAGAAAAGGTTCCGAAGATTATTTAGTTATGATTTTGGTTGTAAACAGAAAGCTCTGAGCGATTTTCTTGCCTCAAGTTCATCTTGAAAAAGAGCGAACACCGGGAAGCCGGCTTAAAACATAAATAAGCTTATGCTTGCCTGACTCATGGTTTTCTGAGACACTTTACTCTCAATACTTCTCTTCGTGAATGACAATCATTGTCTCTGTACATGTTTCACCGAATTAAACTTATTTTATTGATTGTTAGTAGTCCATCTCGCAATTTTCATCGCTGTACCGGTTGTTTCCAGTCGAACATAAACATCGCATGTAGGAATACTCAAAACGCCGCGCGTAAATATCACTCGCTTTTAAAGATTACACATAACAAAATCATACACAGTTTAATGAATAAAGGGAAATAAAACCTAAACATAACAATTTCTCTATCATGTTGAAGCGTAAATGGTAACTCTATTAATTGCACTGCAAATTTGGTGCCTGTCAAAAGTGAGAACCCGTCCGGCTAGCCCAAAAGTGATTTTGGGAATTTTTTTTATCGTTTTCATTAAAAGCTCATAATTATTACCCCGCATATCACATAGGACCAGATTTTTCTAACAGAAAACGTTTTATAATTCAATGCTATAATTTGTTGTGCAAAGGAAGCGCGTGCTTTGATCGTCGTGGATATTGAATGAATGCAAATTCTCTTGCAAAATTGTGAAAAACTGCAGAATTATAGGTTTAAATAGGGCAAAAAAGACAAATTCTGTCCGAGGTCTGTGTACTGTTTACCTGAGACGTGATGAGAAAAGGTATGTTTAAAAGGCTGGTTTACAAGCCACCAGATTCGTCGCCAAGATTTACTAGTAAACTAAACTTGTCGAACACAAAAAATCCGGCCTGATTTTTATTTTGGCCTCTGTTTTAGACAGAGGAATGCAACGTGTAAATTGGCTGCCACCAAGGACTATCGTGGCGCATGTGTTTCTTAAAATTATATTTCGGGGTTGTCCAATTATCCATAGTCTCTCTAACGGAGCAATGTTGGAGAGACTGGTGAATGCCACAATATGATGCTACAGCTAATGCAAATACAATACACGAATAGGTCTATTTGTTTTTCAGGACTAATCTACTGTGATCTAACATGATTGCTATTTTTCGGTGTACAAAAAACTTGATGTAAAATTTGTTTCACTCTTGGACGGTCAAATTCTGATTTTTCTCTAAAATCACTCAGCCTTTGCCTCAAAAGTCAAATGAATGTGCCCTGATCTGTGGATTACAAGTTTATTGTTTGATATAAATTATGAATTTATTAACGGGAGCTTCGCTTTTAGCCCTGGCTAAATCTATATATTACTGTCTAATGACTGAGCGCGTTTCAATTTTAATTCGCTTAACATTACAGCGACATCTGAGGTTATATGTTCATATCACTATTAATACCGGATAACTCTTGCGCTGGCGCGAAAAACATACCGAATGGGACTTTTGTTCATACATAGGAAGGGTAATTTTGGCGCTATTTTTTAACGGAGCAAACCTGAACTGAACAAAATTGTGTATAACGTCACCCATTGAGGGGAGGAAGGCCTCCCCTGTGTGGCAAAATTTGTCAGCAGCCTTTCCTCCCCGAGATCAGTTTGTAACCACTGGCCACCTTTATTCAAATCCGTCGACCAGGAGCCCCAAAATTTGCCTTTGGAACCTTATTGAGACGTTCCAGCCAAGCTCCGTGTGCAGAGGTCCCATATTCCGAGGCTGGACCGATGGACGAATTCGGCAAGAGGCTTCGTTCGTTCGGTAATAAGGCGCTTAGCAACAACAACGGCGACGGTAACGAGAACGTCAAAAAAGCACCAGGTATATTAAGCAAAACAACAACACGTGTATCATACTTTTTTTGTACATTTCTTTGCCGTCACTGCACGACTACGACGTGAAAATGCCTAATTTCACGTTTCATGGAGGGCTTACACAAGGGACGACGAATTTTACATCACCTTTATAAACTTGAGTGCAGTCCTCAAGAGATTAATTCCAGGGAAATTCGCCTACATTTGACATATTCAGCGAATTGTAACTAAAAACCCGAATTCATTTTAAAAGTGACGTTTTCGCTGCCGTCGCCGGCGTCGATGCTTTTAACTTGCCTATCTAAGGGTGATAGACGCGCTGAAAGGAAGGAATATCATTTTTCAATTTTTTCTTTTTCCTAGAGCTTTTGACAGTAAAGATGTAGTATGTAACTTAAATAGCAATGGTGACACCACAATAAAACGCTTAAATTTAGACTTAACTTACAAGGGGGTACCCTGTTTGGGTGCCACGAATTTATCCAAATTCAGAATGTTATATCTCAACTCATATTTGAGATACTGGAGAAGTTTTTTAGCTCTCAAATACCCTTCAATTACCTCATCGATGTTAGTGAAGTTTAAGCGAAATCTATTAAAGCGTTAGTTTGGAGTTTCAAGATTATTGATATCTTATAAGGCGGCAAAATAAGGCCTACAATTCGCTATTTTTTTGTCGGAAATTTTGTGTTTACAAGTGATCTATCGAGCGGTTTTCAAATTATTCGCTTATTTGTTTAAGTAGACCAAAATGTTTACAAAACCTCTAACAAGTGCGTCTCGATACATAATAATCAAATATTTATATCTGGCAATCGGCAAAGCTTCCTCCATGATCTTACACACACGTTTTTAAAAAGATGGAACTGACTATTATGAGGTGAAATTGTATATCAAAGCGCTTCGATGTCTTCAGATAACGGCCGAACATCAAGATTGTCTAACTATTACAGTGTTTTTCTAACAACCATAAAAGCTTTATCCCTGAAATATCTCGAAAACACTCTTATAGATTTCGCTTAATAAACTTCCCTAACACTAAAGCGGCTTTTGAAGAAAAAAGCTCTCGTGAACGATTCTGGAAGGAGAGTTCGCAGTGCCTAGTAATACAGCTGCAAGTAAAAGGGAAAATGGCATCATTTCGTTGCTATGACAACTCCGATGGCATGATTGTAACCCTGATCGTAACAAATTTTCACCTTTATCTAATACAGCTCTCCACTGCATGGTGGTAATTTTTAATAGCGACGTAGTTAATGCTCAAACTTGGGAGGTACTGACCCTGAAAAACCCCATCGAGCCACCTTAAAGCTGGGCAGTTTTACCCTAACTAAAATTGCAAACTATTAAAATTGCAAATGCCATGTAAGTTATTAATAATTGATCAAAATAAATTTTTCAGATTTGGATTGTTTTACAATCAAATTTTATTAATTGCGTTTCAGGAAAGTAAACCTTGGTAATTTTGTTTCGGGATTGTTCCTTTTAACAGCAACAATCCAGGGAAAACTGCAGGGTAAGGAATGTCCCTTCGATACCGTACGTTCAACTAACCTAATATTAGACTAACCAAAGCCACTAAATCCAAGATAGCCGTTTATTCAATGAAATAAGGCATTTTGTTTCGCTTTTAAAACCAAGAGCATATGTCACTGAGTTAGAATGATGGGCTGATATGTGTCTTAAATTTTTATCTTCTAGAAAAACAAATAGGGGGTGATCGTTTTTACGATTTTATTTTTCTTCTTAGGCAATGACCATAAGTTTTCATTAATTTCTCATTGTTATCTCCTTTGTAAAAGTGCATCGAAATATGGACATGTATAATTTTAAAAAAGTATGCATTGTAGGCACCAACAAGTATTGATCATGCTGTTCAGACCGGCCACCGTAAACCTCGACTTTTTGAGAGATTCCTAGTATTCCTTACAGATTACCGCGGAACGTAAAAAAATATTGAAATAATAGGCTGAAACATTTGTTTCCTGGCAATAAGACTGAGAAAAGACTTATGCTACATAAATACCCTCTTCAGTTGTAATAGCGTTAAATTTTTTCTTTAATTAAAGTTCTTTTCTTTCGGGTGGTCCTATGAGGAATATTCATCTCTCGCCCTCTTGTTTTTACTTTTTTATCGTTGTTTGTTCACCTAGGCTCGAACAATTAGTTTTATTTTGTGTTTGTAAAATAATTATTGTTGCGCGGCCTAGTTTAGTTAAGTTTATTTAAAAAACTTAATTGCTTCCTCTAGAAGGTGTTTTCAGCTGTGATATGGCCATTTTTCTCAACAAACTTCGTTTGCCCAGGACTCAGTCATCCGTTCACAGTTTTAGCGAAAGACTCTCATGGTGATTGGTTTAGCAAATAATGTTTCCAGTTTTGCCTCATCCCGACATTTTAACAATTGATTAGTTTTTCTTCTCACTTGAACCGTTTTCAGCAGAATTTTACAGATCTTTTCAACGTTAATAAAATTCAGAATTTTAACAACTGGGTATAATAACCTTCCAAATAACGACCTGAATTTTTCTGCCAAAATTCGGCCTATTAGAATTTAAGAAATATGATCGAAGAAATTACTGCGCGAACAGCTGAATTCATCCATTTAATAGAGGTTCACTTCAATCCCTTTGTTTCCAGGCTCCCATCCTTAATTACATTGAAACACCTATTTTCTGCATATAAATGCAATATATACTTTGCAAACTGAAACCTGTTACTTGGCCTAGCATAGATAAATAAACTCAAAAGTGCGCCAAGCTTTACTTTGTAGTTTCATCGAAACTATTCTCTACAAAAACATTCCTTTAACGTCGTTAATTTTATGAATCTCACAGAAATGAATTTCATCTGTATACTTCTCTTCATGCTCATTTGCTGGTTCTCCAAGATGGCTATGGCAAGTGCCGCCGCAAGTCAATGTAAGACGGCTTCTTACTCCATACAAGATCACGTGCTTATAAACCACACCATCAAGACCGGGCCTGCAGAGCTGATTGAACACTGCATCTCCCGGTGCATTAGACATCTCGGTTGCCATAGCAGCAACTTTTATCGGAAGAGCAGATGGTGTGAACTGAATGAAAAAACGCACGCTTCTCATCCTGAAGATATGAGACAAGTTCCATTTACAAACTACATGGAGAATACTCTCAGACCTCTCACCTGCGACAACGACTCAGACTGCGGCAGCAGTTTGATTTGCTTTCTTTCAAAGTGCGAAGGTGAGCTCGAGTTTGGTGACTAGTTGATCTTACTCGGCTATACCACAGAATTTCTTTCCTCTTCTCTGCAACTAAGCCCGAAAGCGGGGACGGCCCGAACATTCGGCGAGAAGAAGACCTTCGTTTTTCGAGAGTCCTAAGTTGTGGGGGAGGAAAATGACGTGGGGGCACCAGGGAAGGCGGGAGAGCAAGCATCCCAAACAGCGGGAGGTTTTACCCGTACCCTCTCGTATCCCCAAGTTACTTTGAGTTAGAAGCAGAAGGACCACTATTTAAGAGTCATATGCCATCAAGCGCTCTCACTGCGGATGATAAAGTTCCTCTGTTCTGTTTTGTTCCGTTCTGTTCCACCGCTCGGATAATTAGTGCTGTTAGTAAACAAACATTCTCTCTTAATTGAGTTGCCACACAGAATATGGCCTTATGGTAAATACCTTGATTCGATTACTATCATGTTTCGCTGTCTGCCATTATTTTATATTGTTCACAGTCCATATTTGTCAGTCGCACCTTTTTTGATCACAAGGCTGTTCATTACGACTGCAGGCGTGTTCAAATTCTAAGCTATACTTTATCGGAAGCAACTCTAATTCAAAGTCTTTTAAACGTATTTTTTCTTCTTTAACACAGAATGTAGCACTGGTGCGTTTGGAATGGAAAATAATGTATTGCCAAACTCAGCCATCACAGCTTCAACAGTATGGCGGACCGTTGGACACGAACCTTGGCTAGCTCGTCTAAATAATGTTAAAAATGGCCACATGGGATCCTGGTCGGCGGATTTGAATGAAGCTGGCCAGTGGTTACAAATTGACCTCGGGGAGGAGAGGCTGGTGACAAAACTCGCCACACAGGGGAGGCCTTCCTGGTCCCCTCCTCAATCGGTAACGTCATACAAAAATTCTTGTTGCCGTGAGCAGAGAGGCCATGTGCCTCGCTTTCATGTCTTAAAAACACAATATATAATGTCCCGGATGGCAGGAACGCCCCCTCCCCAGTAACTGGAGAAATGACACATTAATCAGTCACATTAAGCATAAAACCATTTATTTCTTTCAGAAATAAATCTCCTTTAGTTCAGACAGTGTACATGTCAATTGGGAGGAATACAAGGAAAATGATGCTGTGAAGGTATGTGATGGTAGATTTCTTAAGGCTAGTTTTTGCTTAGCTAGCGGAGTATAGTAGGAGTCGGAGTAGTAAGCGGAGTCGTAACATCGTTTAAAACCTGTTGAAAATAAAAATTCGGACAGGACTCGTAATCGGAGTTATCCGATGATGCGCGGCGGAATCGGTAGTGAGAAGAATCTGAACGTTTCCGTTTTCTTCCGACTCGCTTACCATATGTCTCCGTCGCTTACGATCAAGTGAAACTATCACATTGTTCCCACGCTTTGTGTTTGGTTAACGTCTTCCGCTTTTGTTTGCCAAAAGGTTTTGTTTTAAAATTAACGTTTTCAAACATCCAGCCGCATTTATTTATTTAAATTAGTTAAGTATTTTGTTAGTTAGGTTGTTTATTTGCCATTCGCCACTTTAAAACGTAAAGGGAACTGGGTCGAGTTAACTTTCGCAAAGACTTCTGGGACTGTTGCCAGGGACAGGGGAAAAAATTGGCCAATAGCTGATCGGCGCGTCTCCAGTTACGATCCCGGAAACACTTGCGGTACTTAACATTTAATTTCGGCTCCAGTTCCCTTCTTTTTTCTAATGTCGCGCAAATTGAAATATTGCTTTGGCCTTTCCTAAAAGGTTTCTCTATTGAGAATCGACGTCATGGGTTTGTATCAATAATCTTCCCAATGCAATTTACCGTTAACTCTGACTTTAAGAAAAAATGCTTGTCTGTAAACGTTGTTATCGAATGAATGTATTTCAAAGTAATGAATTGTACACATTTATTTCCTTTACAGGTTTTCACGGCAAATTCTGATCGCAACACCATCGTGTCACACGTTCTAACTACAAGGTTTCGGGCAAGATACGTGGGATTTGTTGTGTTGACATGGCATAACCATATATCTATGCGAGTGGAGCGTTACGGCTGTTCTGCACCATAGATGAAAATTAACTAACCGAGTGACAGAGGTTCATGTAGTGTTAACCACGTCTCGGTATCTAGATAACGCTTCTGATCTTGGATCGTTTGAAAAATGGTATCTGATGGATAGAAACATCTTTTTTCTCGTCTTTCGTGTTATTGCACCCATATGCAACGTACTTTTGTACCATTTCTTTGCGTACATAACAGTTCTCACAGGGAGAAATGACTAGGAAATCTGCTTTCCCCAAAACAGAATTCCCTGAAAACAAATTTCAGATTGGCAGTTTTAAAAACAAATTTAAATGAGTCACGTTCAATTGTCGCCGGCATTTTACTGACGAGGAGAAGTCGTTACGTCACGTTGCCATGGTAGCAAAATTTTCTGGATGACAACAAACTGAAAAACGTCACCAAAAAAGTGAATTCGCACTTTTTGACTTCATCGATCTTATTCAGTTCAGGAGCCAATTCAGTTTTAATTAGTTTGTCAAATGTTGGCTAAATTTTCAGGGGTTAAATCCGAAAGGACCGTATTTAAGTTTAGAAAAAGAAAAAAATGTGTTGTGTTCACCCACTTTATAAAGAGGGCGCCTGAAATTAGGAAATTTTTACGTCGTAGTCGTGCAACGACATCGACGGCTAAGAAATGTACAAAAAAGCGTAATGCACGTGCAAAGTTATTGTTCTAAACTTATTGCTTTTTTGCCGTTCTCGTTGCCGTCGCCGTCGTCATTGTTTAAGTTCCCTATTGTTGTGATCCAAAAATTTTGCTACCATGGTAACGGACGTCGCACTTCTCTCTATTAACGGCTAATGAGAAAATTCGCTTGTTCTCGTTTATTTGCATTAGATTCGGCACATGTGAAATGTGACGTCTGAACCGGACCTTAATCATTGCAATTTAATGCTTCGAGATCTCGGAACATCCTCACAGCAACGGTCCAGGGAAGATATAGGTAAGATTAACGGTTAGACACAGGTAGACATGAATGTGTCTTCCATCCGATACCTCCATTATATAACTACAGTCAAGAGCCAATGCGATAATCTGTTCAACGCTTTAAAAAACTTTCTCGAGACGGAAAGTAGGAGAGGGTAATGGTTGTCCTATATTTCCCTTGGAAATATGGGGTTGGATGATTCGATTTTGTCCTTAGGCAATGGCCATAAATTAAAAAAAGTTTCATTTCACAGCGCCCCGTGTTTCGTTGAAGTGGGCAAACAACTAGAACTCCGGATCCTTCCAGGTGTAGTATTTGTCCATCTGAAAAGCATTTGCCACCCGGCAGAAAATAGAAACGTAGGCTGCGTCTTTGCCCTCTCCTGTGTTTAAGCCAGTTAAATTCGTCCGGACATCGGTACTAGAGGTCCGCCTATTAAAGAGTGCCATCTTACAAAAGCACGAGGTGGAACTTTCTAGCTCTAATTTCAAATTGCCTGAAAGATGCCTTTTGCTTCGTCAATCAGTTTGACTGGTTATCATGCGTTGTAGCCTGCGAATACAACCGTTTCTCGTCCTCGTCGCGAGGAGCAGCTGAGGAGAAACGGCGGTATTCGCAGGCTACATGCGTTGCCATCGGCGTGTCCTCTTTTTTTTTCTGTTATAAAAATAGATAATTCCCGGCTCAAAAATAATATATGCACTTTCGGAATTCCATGAAGTATTTTATATATATCGAGGCTCTTTTTCATATATTTCGTTGTTACTGGGGCGATCGTTCAGGAGATGGTCGTTGGTTATACCGAGGACTTATGCGAAGTGTTTTTGAAAAAATGATCGCGACAGAAAAAAAGCGTTTCAAACTAAAATGTGTTTCTCTAAACTTCTTATTTTCCGTCACCCACGCGGTTATTCCTCTGAGTCTAACCTGCAGTCATTGTAAATCTTATTTTCCCAACAACATCAAAACTAATTCAGTAGAAAATACCTTTATTTAACCATCTCGATATAACAGTTAATGTGATAAGTGATAAATGCACTGATCAGAAAGGATGCAGGAATTCTGCATCGGGTAAAAAAAAAAACAAAGAAAAAATAGCTAATACAACTGCACTGAGTGACAATGCGGAAATTCTGCACCTGGTAAAATGAATATATATTAGCCAAATTCTACTGCACTGGAGTGACAATGCAGAAATTGTGCACCTGGTAAAATGAATATATATTAGCTATATATTCCACTGCACTGATGAGTGACAATGCAGAAATTTTAATACAAAAAATACAAATTAGCCATAAACAACCACTGCCAGTAATGAGTGAGGATGGCTGAAATTCTACTTTTTATTTTGGTGAAATGGATAACTTAACAAATTGAAGTGTTCCACCAGAGAAAAATTCAGCTTAGTTACAAAAATCTGCACAGGAGTTAATGAACAAAAGTCTGTAATATCCAACAATGCAACAGTCTAGACAACCACGTTACATGTACCCATAGTTCAAAAAGTAGAGGGCTTAACAATATACAGAAAGGCTGTGTTTTAAAACAAATTGAGGAAGCTCCATGCTTTGTACCTGTACAATCCAGGGTTGGCATGTACTGTAAAATGAAAAGAGCTAAATCGACCGCAAAGGTCAAATCGGCCCCAATGTCTCGAGGGCCAATTTGGAACATGCTTGGCCATTTTGGACAGAAAGAACCAAGACAGTTCTATAGGGTACCGAGATAGGCCCATCTGATTTCTGAATTGGTTACACTAAAAGCTACTTCGGCACTTCCTCTCAATTTGGTCCTTCCCATAGCCAATTAAGAAAATGCCGATTTGGCCTCAACGAGGTATATGTAGCGACTGCCTTTTGCTGTCAAAAGGGGCGCAAGGAAAACGCGGTGTTTGGTTGAAGAAACCATATATACGTCTCACACAAATCTGGTTGTAACTGAGGTCGGTTTAGTCGAGCGAGGATCTGAGATAACTTTAACGTAGATCTAAAACCGTGACGAACGTCAAAGACTGTAAGGTAACTCATGGTTTCGAGCGAAACTTTGCCTCGAGCGAAGCTACAAATCGGGAAGAAAACTTCAATCACGCTCCCGAATGTTCTGCACATGAGGAGATTTTTGAATTCCAGTATCCAATACAGTCGAACCTTTCGATACGGACACCTCTCCAAGTTACACGGGCAGTTTCTAATGTCCCGACAAAATTCTCATATATTTTCTTTAAAAAAAAACCTCTATAATACCGACTCTCTCTCATACGGACAACGGACACTAAATTTCGGTCCCAGAGAGTACCGTATTTATTCGATTAACCGCGCGCCCTGGGCGCTGATTAAATTTTTGGACCTTGAGAGTGGGCGCTTATTCGAGGTGGGCGCTTAATATTCGAGGCTGGGCGCTTATTAAATTTTCACCATTTTCAGCAAGTGTTAATTTTGCAACAATACAATAAATGGTAATAATAAAACGCGAAGATGTAACAAAGCAAGGTTTCTGTAAAATACTCTGAAGAAAACTCCGTCTTCGGGCAAGTCTCTTATAAGTACTTATTTAAGGTCTTTTGGGTGAGAGGGACCAGAAAGGGGGTGGGCGCTTATTTGAGTTTGAGTTTGAGGGGGAGGGAGGTGGGGTGGGGTTGGGCGCTTATTCGAGGCTGGGCTCTTATTAAATTTTTCTGCCTTCAGGATGGGCGCTAATTCGAGGTTGGGCGCTTATTCGAATAAATACGGTAAATTCATATAAACCTAACCTCTTTATTAAGGACACTGGGGTGATCAAGTGAATCCCGACTACCGATCAGCTGAATCTGCACAGGGTGAAGCCCGTCTAGTCTGGCTGATGAGCTACGTAAGGTGATATAAAGCCCAGTCGCTGTATCCCAAACAACTATTTGCGACAGGTGTACAGAAGAACGTAACCGACTTTTTGAAGGCCTCCAATAACTATACAGATAGAATAAAGATCTTTCCTATTACATTTTGTACTCTAGTTACTGTTTACTGCACTCGCAAAAAAGCGAAAGACGCTTTCAGAATAGTGCTTTACGTTACAACTTTTTACATGCAGCATTGCGCTGTAGCTCGTTTCGTCTGTATCTGAGATGTACAATGTTGTATGTTACTCTGGCTACTGAAAGACAGTGTCTTTGTACTGTGAATTAATAACTTAAAATGCAAATTAAAGACGAGTGTTAGCCTGGTTTTAGCTACTTAACACCTAAAACTGTAAGTGGAGTCATAAAAGTGACGTTATCATAGTGACCTCTTTTGTACGGACATCTCACTAATCACCGGTAGTCCAAGCTCACTTTGAGAGCCCTGAACAACATTATCCTACCTAGCTAATTAATTATTCATACGACAACAGTTATAAGACGTTGTATGATAATTATCCTATTTCTCCATAATTGAGCGAAACGCACATTAAATGTTTCCTTTTAGTATTTTGTTATGTTTATTTGTGTGTTGACTGCGTTTCAGGCCTCTTAAGATGCCAAGAACCCGAAAACAACACTACCCATCTAAGCTAATTAACTAGTAATAGTCGACACTACAGCTGCCCCCGCTCTGTATGTTGTCGGTCAATTGTAGCCTTGGTCTTTGTGTAGCTCTTTGAAAAATACTGATTCGTATTGAAGATTTTCACACATATAACATACATTAGGTGAGATAAAAGCAGGAAAAGCAAGATTCCATGCACTGAGTTGGATCGATTTACGGTGATTTACGCAGCTCTGATCAAAACACCCTCGGCGTAATTCACACTCGCGTTCCACAGCCAAACGGCATTTAATAATAATAACTAAAGTTCTTAAAAACGCATTCTACATACAAATGTCTCGTTGCTTTTTACAACTAAAAAAAGAGCTCTCACGAAACAGATACGTTTTCGAAGCCCTTTTAAAACTATCATAAGCTGAACAACAAAACAGCCCAAAGAAGTCACAATAACACGGTTTCCTGGTTTGTTCTCTCCGAAAGAACTCACAATAAACACAGTTCAGTTTATCAATTCTTTTCTTCTTGCAATAGGCCACTCGCACTAAGAAGTCACGTGATCAATGCTTCCTTTAAACAATGAGTTGGAACCTTGCCGATACCAAAAATAGACAGAGCACACCCTCTCACCCGGAATTTGAGAGGAAACGCATTTAAGGGAGATATTTTATGGCACTTTGATTTTTCAACAAGGTAGTATGGGGTACTACTTGGTGTAAGACTGCTCAAAATGTCCCGATTTGTATTGGCCGCCATGTTGGAGGGCATACTCTTGCCCTCCAACATGGCGGCCAAAACTACTTTTTGCATATATCTTGTTAAACCTTTGATAGTTACCCTCAGATGTGCTGTAAACGTTACCACATCATCTTTTCAACATTTTCCTCGACGTTTAAGTGCAAAATTTGTGTTCAAAAAAGGGTAATCCATAACTTTAAAACTTACAGTTTGGTCACGTGACCAGCCACGAACTTACTCATTTTGAGAAAATGGTGCGAGTTTGAAAAACCAAATCACTATTATTTTGTTTATGATATGACCCACTAATCGTTTTTCGAAGGCAAAATCATATAACTTTCATTTTCATAAAAACGATGTCAAATGACCTCTTAGTGCAAATGGCCTATTTTTCTGCGATTCCCTGAGCAGCCCTCTGAGCTGCAATTCGTCTTGTTCTCTGTTCTCCTACATCAGCTCGATCTCTCCTCCCCTTTTGAGGCTGGTCAACATTCTCCACCGCTTGATTTCCAAGGGACAAACTAACTGAAGCGGTCGATCAATAGTGTGCCTTTTTTGTTAAAATGTTACCCCTCTAACGACGTCATCTTTGCCTTTGATAAGACACACCACTTTACCCTTTCTCCACCCACCCAACTCCATGTAAGCAGGCCTTAAGGGTCCAATGTAATGACATCACGTGAAAACTGTTAGCATTTACAAGTACATTAGTACTGCGGTTCCCGGTGGAGGTGGGGGACCAGGACCCGCTTAGGTGGGGTAAAAAATAACCCTTGTTTAAATGCAATCACACAACCTCGCCTACTCTCACTTGCTGCTCTTGCTGCGACCTTCAATGCTTTGGCTTTCTATTGTTACCTTTAATGATTCAAAGCTACCGCCAAAAGAGAATTTTGCGTAGCCTGAAACCGGGCTCCGCATTGGGAGAAAAGGTAGAAAAAATTGGCGAGCCGATTGGTAGTCTGGAGGAAAGCGTGACGGAAGCTTCCCCCCTCCACGGGCCACCGCTATTTCTCCTAAATAGGAAATAGGCCCCTAAAGTAACTGATGGTGGCCACTGTTGAGTCCCAAACCAATCCTGTGGGAGTTGAACGTTCGTTTGTCCCAATAAGTTGGCGTAGCTGTGGACCACATGCGTCAAAATGCTCTACTGATGCCAACAGACTCCAACACCATTCAAGGTTAATGTTGGTACGCTTTAATCTGAAGACCTGAAACTGCATCATTAAGCTAAGTTAACATTTTTTTTATCAATCTTGACAGGAATGAGGTTCACCTGCATCCTTCTGCACGTACTCATCTGCTGGTTCTGTAAGATAACTGCTGCAAGTCAATGTAAGGCGGCATCTTACTCCATACAAGATCACGTGCTTATAAACCACGCCATCAAGGCCGGGCCTGCAGAGCTGATTGAACACTGCATAACTCAGTGCCTGGATCATCCTGGTTGCCATAGCAGCAATTTTTATCGGATAAGCAAATGGTGTGAACTAAATGATAAAACGCACGCTTCCCACCCTGAAGATATGAAACAAGTTCCCTTTACAAACTACATGGAGAACACTCTCAGACCTCTCCAGCTGCCTCCCACCTGCAAAAACGACTCAGACTGTGGCAGCAGTTTGTTTTGCTTTCTATCGAAGTGCGAAGGTGAGTTGGAAGATTACTTCATCTTACTTTGTCCTTTGTCTGCCAAGCGGGAGGCTGCTGGGTCAAACCTCGGTTGGAACAGCACTCAGGGTGTTGAAATAACTGAGAAGAAACTGCTGCCTTTGAAAAGACATCTGCAACCGGTGAGTCTTCTCGGATAAGGAGAACCCTTGCACAAATAAATTTTGTGGGAGGTTAACGTACCCACGCACTGTTCGTAAAGAGTAGGTGGGGTGGTCTATGTCTCATGGAGGGGAGGGACTGTTACGGCCCCGCAGTAATTCGCTCCAATAAGCGATGTTGCGGTGACCCTACCAAAACTTGGCCCAAAATCAAATAAACAAAAAATCAAATAAACAAAGTAGCTTTAAAAAGACTGTTAAACTGTTTTTTTTTCTTCTTTTTCGCAGAATGCGGTATTCATGCACTTGGAATGGAAAGTAAAGCATTGCCGGATTCAGCCATCATTGCCTCCTCGTTCCGAGCTGGGCGCGAGCCTTGGCTAGCCCGTCTAAATAATGTTCCGATTGCAAATGGCCACCGAGGCGCCTGGGCACCCGCAAAGAATGAAGTCGGCCAGTGGTTACAAATTGACCTTGGGAAGGAAAGGCTGCTGGCAAAACTTGCCACACAGGGGAGGCCTTCAGACCCTTCTATGTGGGTTACGTCATACACAATTTTGTTTAGTTCAGACAGCGTCAAATGGGAGGAATACAAGGAAAATGATGCTGTGAAGGTATGTGATACATAATTTTATAAAAACGATTCTGATTCCAGGGTAAACGAGGCCGTGACACTAGCGAAGTAACAGCAGGCTACGTACGTCTACAAACACATTCATAACTTTCGAGCCAAACATCCCAAACTTAATTTAATACCTTCTAGATTAATACTGAAATTGTGATATAGCTGGAAATTTTTCCCAACAGCGCTCACTCTCATTGGTTACTTCGAGGTCACATGACAACTAACAAAGAAACTGTTTCCCGCCAAAATCTCTGAGCGGGCAAAATTACAAAATCTATGATGTCAGAGGGTAACAGTGCACTGTTACCCACGAATGTTGACCGACGACCGCCGTTACAGCAAGGTTTAATGAATTTCCGGCTTCAAAATTTCCAGCTATATTGCAAATCACTTAAAGACTGGTCCCTCGGAAAACAGCTAATTTTGTTTCCCTAGATGTCTAGAGAGATCATATGTGTTTTTGAGAACATAGAAACTGGTTTTTCCAGAATAGAGATTCTTTAGGAGCCAGAAGTCCATGAAAATCAGCTGAAATAGTGAGATTTGAAATACACTGAAACTTTTGGACGGTTAATGTTAAACTGCATTTTTGACTTTTGACGGTTGAAAATTGACCTTTTTGGACAACTGAAGGTTAAATTTTAGGCCGTTTGCATGACGGCTGCCGGTTATTTAATTAACCCATTGAGACCCTCTTTTATATATGGTTGATTCTAAGAAAAGGCATCTTCTGCTTACTATATTAATCATAGCTTTGGAACAAAGGTTTACTCGCTTCTACTTTTTGAAAAAAAAAATGACGTATTTTGCGGGTTTTCACGAGAGCAAATTCTGACCTCAAGACGATCGTGTCACACGTTCTAAATGCATTTCAGGGTGATGAAATATGTGAATTTTTATTCCCATTGCAGGTTTTCGAAGCAAATTCTGACCGTGAAACAATTGTGTCACACGTTCTAACTCCAAGGTTCCGGGCAAGATACGTACGGTTTGTTGTGCTGAACTGGAACAGGTATATATCGATGCGAGTGGAGCTGTATGGCTGTGTTGCATCGTGAAGGAAAACGTACGAGATTTTTACATTGTAATGGCAACATTATCATGCAGTGATACTTTTCAGTTTTGATTAACATTGTAACGCGGCACCATAAGCTGCACGAGCTTTAATTCTCACCCGGGAGTGAGTCTGAACAAAATTTGCTGTTGTAGTTTGCCTTTTGATTAAACGGATAAAACATAATGCTTTATTAATACGCCTCAACAATCAGGGCCGAGTTGTTCAAAGCTGCAATTGGTTATATTAAGATAAACCAGTGTTAATGAGAAATTTGAACTCAGTTATAAAAGCTTATAAAAACAAATTCATTTTCATTTTTTTCGTCTACAATTTGATGATTGGACTGACTGAAAGAGAATAGCAAACATTATCCGAGGAAATGCTTTTGAACAAAAGAAAAAGAGTCCCGAGTTAAAATTTGACCCGGGGTTAGCGCTGCCTCGTACCTAGACGTCTCTCTTTTGATGAAAATGTGCGCGCAAAGGAAGGCGGGAAGAAAAAACGAAGCGCCTGAGGAGGAGGCTGGGGTTAGCGCTAATCGGGCTTCGAACAACTGGGCCCAGTGCTCTAGCCTCCGGGGGGGGGGTACTTTAGGAATCTCTGGGTGGGGTTGTGCCGCTGGGACCCTGGAACCCTTAACCTATACCAGAGCTAGTTTAGCTGAATTTTGCTACCCTATACTAGAGTAAACTTCCCAAATCCCCCCTATCCTAGAGTAGCTCTTTCGAAACTAATGAGGTCACTAGTACCGTCTAGCCAAAACAAAACCTTATATCACTATCCCTAGTCTAGATAAAAATCTTCAACCAACTGATCAGTTTCCTGAAAAATGATACCCTATTCTAGACCCAAACGCTGTGATTTATATACCCTATCCTAGAGTAAACTGCTCGAAAACCATAGGGAAGTGTCGCCGTGTATGCACATATCGGATATATACCGTCATGGGGCCCTCCCCCCTCCCCGGCTCTAACCTCTTATGATCGTGTAGAGGAAAGATCTCGCAGCCAGCAGGAATTGCACTTCCATTGGAAGACGTGATAGGGTGGTGCTGAACGAAGCCTTCAAATCATGACCCTTTTCAAGACAAAATCTTTTCATTTTGATACAGTGTTCAACAAACGGAGGGCGTGGAATCCAGAATCCAAACCTTTCTTGGATTCCCTTACATGGGCAATATATACTTAAACATTTTGTCCTGAGGCTAATTGACACTAAAAACTAAAAAACGTCACCACGTGGGAACAATCACAAATTCACTCTTCGAAAACAAGAATCGGCCCCATATGAGGGAATTCAAGACAGTCTTAGATTCTGGATTGCACATCATTGATTCCGGATTCTCGGTTTAGATACTGGATTCAAGATCTTTCTCAGTGGAACTTAGATTCCAGATTTCACTCATTAGTGGGATTTCGGGTTCCTAGAGCTGTATTCCGGAATCCAAAGCCCAGGATTTTGGGTTCCACAAGCAAAAATTCCCCGGACTGCGGATTTCACAAACAAACATTTTCCGGATTCCCTCACATAGGGGCGACAAGAACGAGTAGTCTTACTGTTTTAGTAGAACCTAACTAGCATGCTTTGTTTCTAATCTATACCAGATTTTGAAGCCTTTTTCAACTTGAATTCATTAAATCGTTGTTTGTTTGTCACAAATGTGGCGAACAATTAAATGTGTGCTCCAGGCTTCTGGCATTTAAAATGTTTATTGCGTATTTCAATTTTGGGCCGCTTTAGCCTTTTTGAGGGATAGAATCAATTAATTACTTCATCTAACTCTTCCTCAGGCATCCGATTGAAAAGATTTCTTGAAGAAATTATCATTCTTTTGCTTTTAATCGACCTGCAAGACGCCAGGTCTCCACTCACCATCTATTATTAAGACATAGTAAGTACGTTAGAGACTGCAGAATTCGTAACAGATAACCGGCTACCCGTTGGTCTCTTCTAAAGCCGATTAGCGAAAGTCTATACTTTTCTAGCAGGTGTTCAAGGAGGCATTCTTGAAATGGTTTTTGCGGTAAAACGTAGGCAAACTACTTTTGCGTGGGAGAATTAAGGCATCGAATCTCAGATTATACCTTATTCGATCGGGATATATTAAACGGTGAAGGAGAGAAACGATAAAACCATAACATAGTGACTCACAACATTACGTACTATATAGAAGACTGTTTGGCAGCGCCAAGGAGAACAATAATCGCGAAGGGTAATGAGAAGACGAGCACGAAAAGAGAGACGAGGAGAATAGAGAGAGAAAAGTAAAATCTCAAAAAATAAACCATTCCTTAACCCATTTCACCCCCACTGACCCGCCCAACAGCGACAGACAAAATAAAACGCAATTTATGTTTAAAAGAGACGTCAAAAATTTCCATTTCAAAAGATCATTGTCTTGCTAATAACTAATAAAAATATATTGTCAGAACTAAAAGCGTCCAAAACAAGTTTGCTTTTACAAACTGACAAGTTCAAAAGCCTGCAGCATTCCGTTTCTGGTAAGTTAGACCTCATTTTAATTACCTTCTAGCAGATCTTCTAAGTCTGCAAAGAACTACAGGTTAAGAAATTTGCTTTATCCAAACTGAGCATTTTTTTTGTGTGTGTGAAATTGCACGTATGATCAGTCTCTGACCAAATGCCTAGATGCAAGGTACGAGTAATATATATCTAACTAGTAGGGTCAATGTTTATTTTTTAGCGCACGCTAATTTGAAGGAAGTTCCGATACACCCGCCGCTCGTTCAAGTGAAAAGAAAAAGGTACCCTAAAAAACCGAGCTATAATATAATTTTTTTAAGTGGCCGAGTCTGAAAATGTTTTTTGAAGGGTGGAGCTTAGAGAACGTACGTTAAAGGATTTTAAAGAAGTTTACGAAATTTTGACCCCTTAGATTACAATAGTCCGTAGCCTTTATTTCCCAGCAATTGTTGATTCACCTTTTTTAATGCTGATATATAATATAAGCATCTTTTGTTTATATGGATCATATATGATCATAAAACATAAAAGTCCCACTATGTTGCGACAGCTGCAGTCTCCTGATTGCGACTATTCTAGAAGAAACGATGCAGTCAAGAACACTCACAAACCGTTTTCATCTTAGGCCTGCCCGAAGACGAAAAAACTTCAGAGACCTGACATTTAGTGGAATCACACTGTAGCAGTAAAAAGGGACCATTCCTTAAATACGGGAGTGGATTATGGCCGTGGACTTCAATGAATCGCCTGGCAGTATTAAAAGACAGTAGAGCATGAGCAGTTTGTAATAATAATAATAAAAGCGGTCGCTGGCCAATTGGTTTCCCAAATGCTTAGCCGCTGGATAGTGATTTAGTCGGTGGATAGTGCTATATATCTAGCTTAACTGGGACCTAAGTCATACGGTTGAATGTAGAAACAAGAAAAAGGTTTGACCAGAGTACAAACAACGTTTAAATACCATACTTAGAGTTTGTGACTCTTATGACTCTTAATGAAAAACGAAGATGAAATTTAGTGACCTCTCCGGAAACCAACTTCTGATTAATTTCAAGCGCTTAACTGGTCTGCATGATTAATCCGTTATTCATCAAACGGCCTTCGTTTGCTCGCTTTAATGAAAAGACCTGAGAATGCAATGATAACATTGTTTATGAATTTTGTCAGGAATAATGAAGTTCACCTGTATAATACTTCTACACGCACTCATTTGCTGGTTCTTCAAGATGACCATCGCGAGTCAGTGTAAGGCAGCATCTTACTCCATACAAGATCACGTGCTTATAAACCACGTCATCAAGGCCGGGCCTGCAGAGCTGATTGAACACTGTATCTCTTGGTGCATCGAACATACCGGTTGCCATAGCAGCAACTTTTATCGGATAAGCAAATGGTGTGAACTGAATGACAAAACGCACGCTTCCCATCCTGAAGATATGAGACAAGTTCAACTTACAAACTACATGGAGAATACTCTCAGACCTCTTACCTGCAACAAAGGCTCAGACTGCGGCAAAAATTTGATTTGTTTTCTATCGAAGTGCCTAGGTGAGTTGGGGGATTCCTTCATCCTCCTCTGTCCTTCCTCAGTACGTATCTAAAAGAAAAGCAATCAAATTTTACCGCCGCCAGGTTAGCCTAATTGGATAAGGGCTGGTCTGCCAAGCGGAAGACTACTGGTTCAAACCTCGCTCGGACTAGCACTCAGGGAGTTTAAATGACTGAGAAGAAACTGCCGCCTTTGTAAGACGGTGAGACTTCCTAGTCTTCTCGAATAAGGAGAACCCTTGCACTATCAAATTCTTTGAGACGTTCGCAAAGAGTAGGAGACGCAGTCCCCGTTGTGTTGTTCTAGTCTCATTCCACATGGGGAGAGAGAATGTTACAGCCCCGCAGTAATTGGCTCCAATAAGCGATGTTGCGGTGACCCTACCAAAAATTGGCGACATCAAATAAATAAAGTAGCTTTGAAAAGACTGTTAAACTGTTTTTTTTCTTCTTCTTTTTCCAGAATGCGGTATTCATGCACTTCCTTACCTTTCATTTCGCCACGTCCTAAGTCGGTAGCTACGGAGGAGAAAGTAGCGACCCGCGCTCGGAACCGATCGGGCAGATTTATTACAAGGTTAACGTTTACCGGTGGCTCCGCGGACCCGTGGCCGAAGGAATGAAGTCGGCCAGTGGTTACAAATTGACCTTGGGAAGGAAAGGCTGCTGGCAAAACTCGCCACACAGGGGAGACCTTCAGACCCTTCTTTGTGGGTGACGTCATACAAAATTAAATTCAGTTCAGACATCGTCAAATGGGAAGAATACAAGGAAAATGATGCTGTGAAGGTATTTGATATGGTTTTATAAAAACGATTCTGATTCCGGGGTGGTGACACTAGCAAAGTAACAGCAGGATGGCTACTTCGTCTACAAACACTTCATAACTTTCGAGCCAAACATCCCAAACTTAATTCAATACCTTCCAGATTAATATTTGAAACTGTTATATAGCTGGAAATTTTTCCCAACAGCGCTCACTCTCATTGGTTACTTCGAGGTCACTTGACATCTAACAAAGAAACTGTTTCCTACCAAAATTCTTAGCGGGCAAAATTACAAAAATCTATGACGTCAGACGGTAACGGTGCACTGTTACCCGCGAATGTTGACCGACGACCGCCGTTTCAGCGACGTTTAATGAATTTCCAGCTTCAAAAATTCCACCTATATTACATATCACTTAAAGACTGGTCCCTCGGGAAACACTAATTTTGTTTCCGTCGAATCTCAATGTTTTCCTCGGCTCCGCCTCGGGAAACATTGAGATTCCTGAGGGAAAAAAAATAACTGTTTGCCTCGGAACCAGCCATTCATTTGAGTGTTTCTTGTAAGGTCTTTTTTTCAGGGGCACCCATCGTCAATTTTCGGAAAATATCTGTTCGGAAGACGATTTGAGATCTAGAATTTTCGGAACATTTGTTGTAAAATTTTTTGCTTGCCGGCCTCTCCTAGGTTTTTCGAACATCTAAAAAATGGTATAATTGCCTATTTTTAACGGATTCTTGCCCTCTCTAAAAAAGTCACCTAGAATCATGTTTCGCGAGCCTTTTTTCTGGCTGAAATTTTCGAAAAGGTAACTAAAGTTTTAATCCCTATAATTTTCGGATCACTAAACGTTCAGCTAGGAAATCCGAACAGATGAAAAATTTTTTAGGGGATAAAACTATGCCTACATCTACCGTTTAAATACTAAAATACATTTAACAATGCTACGTTTAAGTGGTTGTGAACTATACTCTCGTTGGCTGGCCTGAGTTTTAGAAAAAAAAAACTATTAAAAAAATTAAAAATTAAAATGTCTAGATAGAGTACGTGTTTTTGAGAACATAGAAACTGGTTTTTCCAGTATAGAGATTCTTCAGGAGCCAGAAGTCCATGAAAATCAGCTCAAATAGTGAGATTTGAAATACACTGAAACTTTTGGACAGTTAATGTTATACTGTATATTTGACGTTTGACGGTTAAAAAATAACCTTTTTTGACGGGTGACGGTTAAATTTTAGGCCGTTTGACGGCTGACAGTTAACCCCATTGAGAACCTCTCTTATATATGGTTGATTCTAAGAAAAGGCGTCTTCTGCTTACTGTATATTAATCATAGCTTTGGAACAATGTAGTAGCCTGTACACAGACGTTGTTTATTTTTCTTTTCGTTCNCAGCCATTCATTTGAGTGTTTCTTGTAAGGTCTTTTTTTCAGGGGCACCCATCGTCAATTTTCGGAAAATATCTGTTCGGAAGACGATTTGAGATCTAGAATTTTCGGAACATTTGTTGTAAAATTTTTTGCTTGCCGGCCTCTCCTAGGTTTTTCGAACATCTAAAAAATGGTATAATTGCCTATTTTTAACGGATTCTTGCCCTCTCTAAAAAAGTCACCTAGAATCATGTTTCGCGAGCCTTTTTTCTGGCTGAAATTTTCGAAAAGGTAACTAAAGTTTTAATCCCTATAATTTTCGGATCACTAAACGTTCAGCTAGGAAATCCGAACAGATGAAAAATTTTTTAGGGGATAAAACTATGCCTACATCTACCGTTTAAATACTAAAATACATTTAACAATGCTACGTTTAAGTGGTTGTGAACTATACTCTCGTTGGCTGGCCTGAGTTTTAGAAAAAAAAAACTATTAAAAAAATTAAAAATTAAAATGTCTAGATAGAGTACGTGTTTTTGAGAACATAGAAACTGGTTTTTCCAGTATAGAGATTCTTCAGGAGCCAGAAGTCCATGAAAATCAGCTCAAATAGTGAGATTTGAAATACACTGAAACTTTTGGACAGTTAATGTTATACTGTATATTTGACGTTTGACGGTTAAAAAATAACCTTTTTTGACGGGTGACGGTTAAATTTTAGGCCGTTTGACGGCTGACAGTTAACCCCATTGAGAACCTCTCTTATATATGGTTGATTCTAAGAAAAGGCGTCTTCTGCTTACTGTATATTAATCATAGCTTTGGAACAATGTAGTAGCCTGTACACAGACGTTGTTTATTTTTCTTTTCGTTCTTTCCAAAAACACGGCGAGCGGCGCGAGCGCGCGAGAACGCTGGCGGTCAATAAACCCCCATTCGGTCTATATTTTATCACGCGCGCTCGATGGACTGTTTTAAGAGAAAATTGAGGGTCTGTGAACAGGCTAACAATATAGAGGCCTCGAGGGTTAGCTAGGCCTTCTACTTTTTGCAAAATGGATATACTCCTTATTTTGCAGGTTTTCACGAGAAGAGAAATTTCTGACCGCAAGACGATCGTGTCACACGCTCTAAATGCATTTCAGGGTTATGAAAAATGTGAACTTTTATTCCCATTGCAGGTTTTCGCAGCAAATTCTGACCGTGACACAATTGTTTCACACGTTCTAACTCCAAGGTTCCGGGCAAGATACGTACGGTTTGTTGTGCTGACTTGGCACAGGCATATATCGATGCGAGTGGAGCTGTATGGCTGTGCTGCATCGTGAAGGAAAACTTACGAGATTAATGAGTGCAATGTAAATGAGTCAGCAAGTCGATGAATCAGTAAGGGATGAGTCACCTCCAACATTAACCCAAACCGAAAAACTAACTGTAGCCGGCTAAACCTTACCCTAACCTCTGATTCTGGCTATAACCACTACCCAAAACCTAGCCTTAATTTCTAACCCTAACTCTCGATCAGTTACCCTTACCTCTAACCCTAATCCCATCCTTTAACTCGATCTCCTTACAAGAAACCTGACCCATAACTTGACTCATAACTCCCGTCATTGACTTTTTTAGCCTTATAAAACAATCGCAAATGTTTCAGAGTACTTGTAGCTTCATGCTCAAAGGATTATTCGTTGTTTAATGTAGAGCTTTTACCGGAATCCTTAGTTTTGATGACATATTGTAGATAACGTAGATCATAGAATTGCGGTATACATGTAATTGGATAAAGGGATTTAACATGTTTAATTAGCATTGTAGTGTCAACATTATAACTTACAATGATGCTTTTCAGTTTTGATTAACATTGTAAGGCGGCACCATAAGCTGCACGAGCTTTAATTCTTGCTGAGTTTGAACAAAATTTGCTGTTGTAGTTTGTCTTTTGGTTAAACGGATAAAACTTAATGCTTACGCCTCAGCAATCAGGGCCGAGTTGCTCAAAGCTGCAATTGGTTAAGATAAACCAGGGTTAAGACGAAATTTGAACTCAGTTATAAAAGCTTACAAAAACAAATTCATTTTCATTCTTTTCGTCCACAATTTGATGATTGGATACTCTAAAGAGAATAGCAAAAATTATCAGAGGAAATGCTTTTAAAACAAAGAAAAAGAAACTCGGATTAACTGATTTAACCCTGGGTTAGCGCTAATCAGCCTTCGAACAACTTGGCCCTGTGCTCTAGCCTCTTATGACCGAGTAGAAGAAAGATCTCATAGCCAGCAGGAAGTGCACTTCCATCGGGAGACCTGATAGGGTACGTGGTGCTGAACTTCGGGGGAAGGGTACTTGGGTTAATTTTTGCTCGGTATGTGCCGCTGGCCTCTCAGAGCCCCTTCGTTCCCATTATAGTCTATTCGTTGGCCAATTAAAGACCCCATCTTAGTCACTTTTGGGCAAATATAAAATTTTCGCGATCCCATTTTTGTCACTTTCTATTTATGTAGGCTACCTTATATTGAATGAAGAACGCATTACTTCATTTTGCTACGTTTGCTAACCCTAAATATGACGAACTGTCTTACCCCCAAAAATAAAAAAATGTGTGACCCCATTCTATCAGGAGAGAAACGATATAACGACACCACAGTGAATACCAAAATTACATAAAAGACTGTATAAGATGCTTGACAGAGCGCGATGGAGGACAGTATTCGCGAAGGTTGATGAGAAGAATGAACGAGACGAGGAGAAGAAAGAAAAATAAAGTCTCTAAAGTTTTCTATCGAAGTGCGTAGGTGAGTTTTAGAGACAAACGCCCAAAGTATACATAAATAACCTTGTCATTTTTTTTTTTCTAAATTTGTAATTTGTTTACCCACACGGAGCAGTTAGGAGTTCTTAAGAGCTCGTTGAAACGTGTCCGTGCGTTCCAGATCGAGCTGAAATTGGTTGGAATTGTTGGTTTTTAAGGAGAGGGTAAAACCGGAGTAAACGTGGAGAAACCTCTTGGAGTAAAGGAGAGAGCTCACACTACGCCACAGTTGCTCTTCATCACTGTTGTGATCCAGCACTTCGAAACTATGATGGACACAAATTGGGTCATGGCCAAGTATTTTTTGCACTAAATTAACTTATTTAAGAAAGGGTTTCACAACGGAGTTAAACTTATGTAATTTGTTGATCTAGTGTTTGCAAATATAATGTTGTATTTCTGTTTGGATCACTTAACAGAATGTAGTATTCATGCGCTTGGAATGGAAAATAACCTTTTGCCGAATTCAGCCATCACAGCCTCCTCGGTATGGCCGCACCCTGGACACGAATCTTGGCTAGCTCGTCTAAATAATGTTCCAGTTGGCATGTTTTGGGGCTCCTGGTCAGCGGCATCGAATGAAGCTGGCCAGTGGTTACAAATTGATCTCGGGGAGGAGAGGCTGGTGACAAAACTCGCTACACAGGGGAGGCCTTCTCCACATTCGGCTCAGTGGGTGACGTTATACACAATTTTGTTTAGTTCAGACAACGTTAAATGGGAGGAATACAAGGAAAATGATTTTGTGAAGGTATGCGATGCTGGTTTATTTTTTTTTCAACGGGAATCTTTCACATACGAGGAAAGGCCATCGCCACCTGCCATCGCCAATTTCTTTTAATCCTTCAGAATATTAAACTGTTAAAACATTTCGTTTCTGTTCTATTGAAGTTTTTGAGTTTGTACATATGTATGATTGTGTTATACAATTATTAATCAGAATACGAATTTTAAATAAAGATTTCCTACCCCTTTCCACCAAAATCGGTTGATAGGTTAATTAAACAGCTAAAGGTATGGTTATAGTGGAAAGTGCACTTAGCTCATCCAGCTAGTTTGCAGGCCCTCCACTTAAACAATTAGAAAGAAATAATACAAACAGCGGAGGATTGAAAACCCCAACTGGTGGGAGGCAACCAGACTTGGCTATTTACAACCGTGGCCGAGGATTTGAACTCGAGACAACCGAGAACAGATCCAGCAAGTGGCCAGAGCGGAACTTGAACCCGGGACTGCCAGATTGGGAGTCCAAGGCGCTGACCAATCGGCCACGCTGCCTCCTCCATTCTGTGTCAGACAACACCAACCTCTCCCCGCCCATAACAGCCACTTGACTTTGCCTCCAGTGAGCGCAATACAGAGGTTTCTGTGCGCTGCACCGTACACTTAAACAATTATTTAAATTTAACTATCAGTAAAGGACTGTTTACGAGTGATTGTTTTCGCCAAATGTATTTATTCTCTTTGCAGGTTTTCACTGGAAATACTGACCGAAGCACAATCGTGTCACATGCTGCAAAGTTCCGGGCCAGATACGTGCGGTTTGTTGTGTTAACGTGGAATCAGCATATATCCATGCGAGTTGGAGCTGTATGGCTGTGCTTTCCATAACTAGCAGTAGTTTCATTCCTACTTTGGTAACTGTGAGGCAATATTAGCCGATCCACTAAGGTGTCTTCGCATCAGCATATAATGTAGTACAGACTGAATCAGAATGCAATACTTTTCCCTTTTTCTCTCGTTCTGTTATTATGGTTGTTTAGAATTTTGTAATTAGTTTCTTTGTAATTAGTTCTTTGTAATTAGAGTAATAAATGTCTTGAATTAAAAAAAAGAATGCATAAAAGGTGGCGTCCAAAAGAATAACAAAAATCAATAATAATGATAATAATAATAATAATAATAATAACAAAGAGACAGGGAAAGATTGAACAGAAAATATCGTGTCGAGGAAAGGGGTACTGTGTACTATGTTTCAGCTGTACAGAAACAGAAAATTAGGGCAGGTGGAATGAAGATATGACGAGAGATCAGAGAGACGTCAGTAGTCCAAACAGAATCAACTGTTTTCGAACTAACCAGAGGCTGTTTTATGAATTAACGCTAGAAGAGAACGAGGTGAAACAGAGTTAACTGAACCCATACTGAAGCTACCACCTTTTGGAGTGGGATCTGGTAGGAGGAGGGTAGTCATAAAGACAAAGCATCTTGGCTAGCTAGAGGAATTTGAGCAGGAGTTCAGCACTGAACAAGACTGGCGTTGCTGCCTTTGCTCACTAAGTTCGCTTTTGTTGTCTATATTTTGGCGATTTTTTTTTTCTGCATGTAACAAGTTATTCTTAGTTTAGGGGCCTTTCTCCCTCAAGATGTCGAGTGCCTGGCGCTGCATTCGGGAGGGATCAGGTTCCCTCCTATTAGCGGGTTTTTCCCGACGGGCAGCAGGCAGCGCGTTTAAGTTCATAGAACATTATAGCTCAATCTGTAGCAATCTGTATGATGCTAACATCAATAAAGCGGGTCTGGTTCGTCCCTTTTTCAAAACTTAAGTTCGATGTCAGCATCCTACAATTTTTTGTTATAATCAAGCAAGAAACTACCCTTGGTGCCAGAGGGTTTTTTTTTTCTTTCCTAATTTCTGATAGTTCGCGGGAGCTTTATCAAACCGACCACAGTTCATCATTTTCATCCTAGAGGTATTTCGAGAGCGGACCTCTGGAGCCAGGGTAGCAAGAAACTCAGAATGAATTGAATAATTATTTTGCTCTATTTCCCTATTCCTAGTATTTTGGAGAAATTTATTAGGCGGGGCGTCTAATTAACATAGGTCGTTTAGTAGGAGCGCGTCTAATTCAAGTTTGTGGGACGTTAAACATGTTAAAGAGCCCATACTGTTCGTAAAGAGAGTACTGGGGGGGATGTATTCCCCAATGTGAAGGTCAATCTCAAATTCACCCTCACCTAGAAGGCATCGTTACTCATTTTTTCTTACTTGTAAACAGCACCATAAGCAGTCTGGCAAATGTCCCTCCACCAGTGTTGTAAATTATCCATGAAAGACCCTCAGAGAGGAGTGGATAAATAATGAGATATTTACTATCTACAATATAGCAGAAAAGACACTGTTCTTGAATTAAAACCATATATGAAACATATGAAACAAGATACGCGGTCATTTTTTTTAAATTCAGTTTTCTCTCCGTGATTAATGACCTTGAGAAAGAGGAAACGAATTAATACATAGCGTTCAAAGCAACAATAAAAAATATCATCTGCGTGAATAAGATAGAATGAAAAAGAAAACCAAAATATTGTTGATTATCTTCCCGCTAATATTTTCCATACCAAGGAATAGATTAAACTCTTAATCGGCTCTTGTACCTAAATATCCTGAGCTCCGTTGTATTTCCATTATATTTATTGGAAGCACCCAACGACTTTTCGATCTAAACTGTGCGAGGGATCAAATATTAACCTCAGATCAGTCTGAAATTAGAGAAAAGCTAAAAAAATTAATTTCGAGATAAGCTTTCCATTCGTCAAAGAAATTTGGAGTTTTTCTACTAAACTTGCTAACAGTTTTCTGAGCCTTTTTTTCGCATTACAGACTGACGGAAGAACCATCGTTGTGTTTCTATAGATTCCATCGCATACAGGGAGTAAATCCGCATACAGTACGTACTCGTCACTGTAAGTCACATCGTTTCAAAATAAATGGTCAAATTTTGGCAAGGCCTTACTGAGCTCTAAAAAATTATTCGCAATTTTTTCTACAAACTTATTTTTTACCACCTTAACTAGGCTGAACACAGTTTGATAAGTAGTGAAAGGTTGCCATTTATTCCTGTTATTCAATAGTCGTTGCAGGTGTAAAGCTCAGATTTGGCACAGACAAAATAATTTCATTTATGAGACATAACATTTTTTAGGTTATAAACGTAGGGTTTCTATTGTTGCCACGGGAACATGGATGATTCAAAACAACAATCGGCGACAAAATGAGTTGAGACACTTCGCCCAAAACTGGGCTTTTTTACGTTTTATTAACTTCAAAAGGAGGAAATATTGCTTTCCTCCCCCATCCCCTCCGTGTAATGTTGTGCCCTTGTTCTAGCTACCCATAGAAAACAACAAACACCCCAACTTTGAATGGAGGGGACAGGGGAGGGGTGCGGATTCTTTTGTTCTCCGAAGTTACCGGTACCCTAGTTAAGTACAATGTCTCAACAATTTTGTCGCCGATTGAAGCTTAAAAATTTAACTTATATTATGAGGTTTAGGCAGATGATCCAGTCATCTGATCAAATTTCCTTATGAATTTGCACAACTTAGAATAAGTAATACTCATCATTTAAGAACATCTTAGCTTAATTGTAACAAAACCCTTTTGTTTTGAAAATTTTAAGACTAATAAGAAACTTGATTTTGCCACAAACTCCATTAGTCAGTGGGTTAATTATTTTGAGACTTTCATTGACTGAAGTGCGATATTTCTTGCCATATTTCGTCAAATTTTAATGAGTAGATTTTATGATATTGTCTCCTGTTTACATCGCCTAGTATAAAAGTTAACAAAACAAGCGCTCTCAAATTGCTCCCTACGTACGCAGTCACACTTGTTCACAAGCTTCGAGAGCGAACTGAGATCAAAGGCGACGAAAACAGAGTATTTCTCAAATTGTCCTCGCTCTTGTTTCTTTTAAGGCTCATTATCGCTTGCTGCATATCTCCTCATGATAAAGATGATTATCAGTAATAAACGGATAATTAATCATAAAAAGCATTTCTAGAGAAACTGTGTTCAGCCACCTCACGCTAAACTGTTCTTTACTACCAACCGTTTTGAGGGTAATGGATTTTTCGGAAATAAACAATCTGTTAATATTATTCTATTAATAATTGATCTTTAGTTGCTTGAGTTTTTAGACAGTCGTTGAAAAAGTTTACTTCAATTTGTGTAAGAAAAGGGTATATGAAACATCTCAAAAGCAAGATTACTAAAAGGCAACATCATTCTATATCAGTTCCCCAGTGGTAAGTTGAGCGTTAAGGTGCTTCGACACAGTTTTTCACAGAGGCCATACCGATATTTTTCAATCGCCTTAAAAGTGGTTTTTTCCTTGTCCGATCACTATAAAATTTTCACCAGTAACTGGCTATGGATTCAAATTTGTGAAAATGTAGTTTTAAGTAAAATCAATATTACTATGACAACAATAAACAAAAAACTTTGAAAATGACAAAAGCCGAATTTTGTGCGATCTAGACCAGCTACTGAAAAACATTAGCAACTTATAATTAAAGTTTGGTGTTTAGCAAATAACCTCCTTAAAAACTAAAAAACTCTGTATGTTCGAATTCGACTAAATCAAAATATATTTCAAACCTTAAATTTTTAATAGCCGTGATAGATTTTTTAATAAAAACGTTATAAATGACTTAAATTACTCTTAAGTATCGTCAGAATGCTGCTTAGTATCAAATTACGATGCTAGGAAATTTTGGTGTAATTAAGTTCTTGCGATCTCGCCTTGCGGACGCCCCGCTATAACGGACACCCTGACAATACGGACTCTTGCTAATGAGGGCACTAATTTGAGGTCCCTACAGTGTTCACAATAAAGAGAGAATTGACGGTAGCTGCAAAGGATCTATGTTTTAGAAGCCCAAGCGAAGGTGTTTAATAGATAGGAGGCGTTTGTACTGTCGCAATATTTGTAATAATCACTTTGTTACAACTGTCTGTAATTTGGTAATCACCGGCACTCTTTTGTCGTATTTGGAAACATTCGGTCGTTGGGTGCCCCTGATTTAATCGTGAAGAGATCAGAAACGCATTTAATTTGAATATCCCACAGGTATCCCCCATTAGTTACAAAAAAATAAAACCGTTTTTGTTTTCCTAAAGATTTCATCACAAACACGGCATGAAGTATTTCTTGAGTCATGTTTTAGACGAGTGCGTTGTTGAACAAGTATACTCATTTTGCGATAGAAAAAGGTAGATGGAACATCAGAAATAAAAGCAATCTTAAAGTTCCAGAGGTAAGTTGAGCGTTAATAACGATAATCGACAAATAGTCAAATCAACTCTTGGCTAAAATGAAAACTTCACCAAAGGAAGCTATGATATCTAGGCTCAAATACTGTACCATTCTTGTCACTCAAACGGTTTTATATTTCCAGTTCACAGAATCTTAATTGATTACCTAACTTAAGAGCGACCCGGTAGTCAAGAAATATCGAGTATTGAGCAGGTGGCAATTAAAGAATGAAAAATCGATTTCTTTCAGGTTTTTTGTCCATAGATAGCCTTTACGTAAATAAGCGGTTTAATGGAGATTGTTTTCGCCGAAAGGCATGTTTTATTTTGGAGAAAAGTATGAATCAATAGCAGTTTTCGTGTCGGAGACTCAAAAAAGCCTAATTTTCAACCTGAAATTTGCGAACATCAACTCTCCTCGCGTTTCATTTGGAACAAAAGAGAAATTTGGGCACTTCCCATTATAAAGCCCCCCTTTTTCTTAGTCAGTAGGAGATACTTTCAGGAAAAAGCTATAGACTCTTCGAAATGACATATGACCCATAATCAAAAAACAGCTTCTTTTTACAGAAACAAACTAATGAGTCCAACTGGTTTTACGGTTATAAACTTTTAATAGGACACTGTTGAGCGTAAATCCGAACCAGAGGTCTGCTTCCACAGAGCTACGTGGGGTGTAAAGAAGTCCAACATCCCCGCGGAAGAGGGGGCAATAGCCGGCGCATCGAGATACCCCCGGCTGGAAAACGAACTTAGCTGTACGCTGAAAAGTGTAAACAATGTGTAGTCCCGATACGATGAATAAAGAGGTGGAACGCTACCCGCAATACTTGTACCCGTAATTAGTCTTCCCTGCCAAGCTCAGAGATGTTCGTCAAGATGGCTGTACTTTGCAACGGTAACATAAGTTAAAGAATTCGCCCTCCTTTTGTTCACAGAAATGAAGTACACCTGTAAGATTATCCTTCTGCACCTGGTCATCTCCTGGTTCGCCAAGATAGCTTTTGCAGGTCAATGCAAGGCAGCATCTTACTCCGTACAAGATCACGTGCTTATAAACCACGCCATCAAGGCCGGGCCTGCAGAGCTGATTGAACACTGCATCTCTCGGTGCATAGAACATCCCGGTTGCCATAGCAGCAACTTTTATCGGATAAGCAAATGGTGTGAACTGAATGACAAAACGCACGCTTCCCACCCTGAAGATATGAGACAAGTTTCATCTACAAACTACATGGAGAATACTCTCAGACTTCTAACCTGCAACAAAGACTCAGATTGTGGTAGCACTTTGATTTGCTTTCGTTCGAAGTGCGAAGGTGAGCTCGGTGACGGGCCACGACCAGAGTATAATTATACTGTAATTATATAAATCGAAAATAACCTCATGATCCATCATCATAATAAATGGGCCGTAAGTGCACACTAATATGTAAAACAACCTTAAAATCACATGTTCAAAACCATAGCAGTTCGAAAATATTGAGACACAATCGGTCACTTCCACGCCACGCATTTTTGTCAGTATTTTGTTGACTTAATGGCAAATTAAGATACCTTTTTACAATAACTGAGCGATTTCTCGCGCTCTAATTGGTCGAGAGCTATGGTCGATGGTCGATGAGAGTTCAGACAATGAGAATAACGTGATCGAGGCGCAATTTGTTTTCCTCTTCAACAGTAATATAATGTACATCTAAAGCTGTCATTATTAGTGTAAAAAACAAATCGAAATTTTTACTCACCTTTTAATGCCCTAGTCAGAAGAAATAATTTGACTTTGAAATTAAAGATTTCATTAAACCTGCTTTGGTCCATCAACTTTTATATTTAATATACGACATTTTGGGTCATCAAAATTTAAAACTATTTTATTACAGAATGCAGTGTTCATGCCCTAGGAATGGAAAATGGCCACTTGCCGAATTCAGCTATCACAGCGTCCTCGGTATATAGGGCCTCTACACACGGAGCTTGGCTGGCACGTCTCAATAATGTTCCAAACGGCCAATTTTGGGGCTCCTGGTCAGCGGATTTGAATGAGGCTGGCCAGTGGTTACAAATTGATCTCGGGGAGGAAAAGGTGCTGACAGATTTTGCCACACAGGGGAGGCCTTCCTCCCGTCAATGGGTGACGTCATACACAATTATGTTCAGTTTAGACAGCGTTAAATGGGAGGAATACAAGGAAAATGATGTCGTGAAGGTATGTGATGCTTTTTTTTTAAGAGGAATCTCACAAGCAACTCGACACGTGACATTGCCAGTTTCTTATGATCTTTCAGTAACCGCGCGAGGTTACTTGTTTGTTCGTTTTTTTGTTGCAATGTTTTTTAGTTTTATTGTGTTACATAATTATTATTTAAAATAAGCTTTTTAAAATGAAAATGTCCCTTTCCTCCCTAAACTTGTTTCCCTCGTCACATGACAACCTGTACATCTACAATGTAATACGGCCACCTGACTTTGTTTCCCGGTGAGCGCAACTAAAATTTGCGATGTAGCTTATTACCTTCAAAGAAGACTTTCATTTAAACTATCATTAACGGAATGCTTACAAGTAAACGCTTTCACCGAATGGATTTATTCGCCTTGCAGGTTTTCACTGGAAATTCGGACCAAAACACAACCGTGTCACAAGCTGCAAAGTTCCGGGCCAGGTTCGTGCGATTTGTTGTGGTAACATTTAAAGGGCATGTAAGCATGCGAGTTGAGCTGTATGGCTGTGATGTACCATAGCTGAACACTTGTGCAATAGATTCAGTAGGATCATTCGTCCTTCGGTAACCATACAACGCTTCAATATAAAGTGCAAGTCCGAGGAACTGCGAGCCGAGCTCCAGACGGCTGTAGTACAGGCTGTCAGAATTCAAAGTAGAAGAGGGCGCTTAGCAAACAATAAAGATGAACAAGTTTTGTAGCATGAGAGCACTGAGTATAGTTAGAGTGTCAGCTTTCTTCCTATCTATAACACACTTATTGTGCACAACATTTCACCCAGGCTTGGCCACATGCCACAACATTGGATAAGGCAAAGTGCATGGCAGGCAAAGTTTGACCAGGGGTTCTAAGACTTCTTAATTATTCATACAATCAAAAGCCAATAAATTGCGACCATTTGGATCAGGTGGAGGAATCTTGATACCTATATATATGAAACACCAGATAAAACACTACCAGCTTTTCATCTGAGATCAAACACTTGCATTTTAAAGAGATGTTTTATTGATTAACACCACTCATAAAAAAAGGAATACCAGAGAAAACATGTCACACATGTTTCATTAAAGAAAACATATAAAAAAAACTCGGGCTTCATGCTTCAACACGGGTTCCAAACACCTGGTAAAAGATGAAAGCGCTCAGCCTACGGCCTCCTGCTTACATCTTTCTCTCGGTGTTTGGAACCCGTGATAAAGCACTCACCCTCGTTCTTACCCAAAGTCATACCCCCACCGTGGTACATGGAGGGGTTGATGGAACTCCTCCCTAGAGTTTTTGATACCTTGCAGTGTTTCGAAACAATTTTGCCTTGAGTGGAAAGCCTTTCATCTTCTAAACAAGATGAGGTATATTTTATGGATAGTGGCCCAGCTGGAGCCCTGTGACGTCACCAAACATGGTTGCCATCTTGGATTTTACCAAACCGATTAAAAGTCCGGTAAAAACTGGGAGAATTGGTAATTTTTTTAGCTTGACATGAAAAATATCACATTAATAAGTACTTCGCACAATTTTATCCACAAGCTTTACTTTTACTGTTGAAAGAAGTTGGGAAAACATGCATTTTTACTCAAAAATGGCTTGACCTTCTACTACTTATGATGTCATATCTCGTAACTGACCATCACTAAACGGGTCTCAAAATGCGCCCGAGTGATAAACAAACAGCTACTGAAAACGTCAGGTGCTGATGTTTTATCGTCTAGGAAAAAAAACTCAGGAAAAACTCAGGTAGGGGTGGAAACCACCCCCCTATACGTCCGAGGGTTAATAATTTATAAATTTATTGCAATGGCTGAAGTCCCTGGCTGAAGATTAAAAATAGCGTCACGAGCGGCAGAGCATACGATGTCGATATTGCACGCAAAGTTTTTACGAAATTAAAAACTTCGCATTACATCAGTTAATAATCTATATAAATTTTATATAACTTGCTGGTTCAAATAAGAAAATAACTGTAGCCCCGCGTTTAAATTAGGATTGCTGTAGATTAGGCAATCTTGTAGCCTATTCTTGATTCTTGGCCCCCAGATGATAGGGATGACTCGTGTGCGTTCTTTCTCAATAGCTCAGATGCGATTAAAATTCTGACATCATGAATCCGAGGCTTTAGGGTCAAAATTGCAAATTTTTACCACTCCACTGTCTCGCAATTCCCAGAAGAGACTTTAGCACAAAGAAAACCAAACCAAATATAGAAAAATGACCAGAAAGCCTCGGAGTCATGTTAGAATTTTAATATATCGAACGTGGGCTATTCCGCGGACGACTATCTCGGAGCATGAAACAGGCTTAAGACAATTGCCTCTGTGAAATCATGTTAATCAAAAGTGTCTTTTTTTTCTTCGTTTTCAGAGAGACTTTGACTCTGATTGACTAAAATCAATCACAAACAACTGTAAAGTAGACTACAACGGCGATATAAAAACAGCCGAAAACCCGACGTTTTGCCCTTGACGGCATTCAGTACATTCTTGATCCGGAAGGCACTTTGTACCCAACTACATCTTGAAAGTAGCATTTTATGCTTTGGAATAAATTGTAAAATGATGTCATATTTGTTCAAAAATTGCTACGATATAAACAAAAACAAGCGTTAAAGAAAGTTTTGCATTGAAATAAAAATTAAAAAATTAAAGTTTAATTTGTTATCGCTAGAGTGCACGTAAGACACCATAAGAAAGGCGAGGGCTGAAGTCTTCAATTCAAAATGTGATATGGGATTTCAGGTGAGCGATCGTTGGGGCCTTCTTTGTTGAAGTAAAACCACAGGTAACCCAGGCTCTGCGATAGTACCACAGTACGATTCCCTTGGCGTAGCTGAGGTTTTGAAGGTGCACGCACAGAAAGAACGGTCAGACCTCCGAAGGTACTGCAAGCTATAGGGGGTCTAAGGGCATGCTCCGCCAGAAATTGTTTCATATTTATTAGGAGCTCAGAAATGCCGTTTCCTGCCTTTTCCGCAGGAAATTTTCAGTAAATAAATGCGAAGGAAAATGCCGTAGTTAGTTGTTTAATTTATATCTATATACTTTGAACGGTAACAAGGTACAGCGATCACGGAAAGAAGGGTAAAACAGTGACGCCATCAAGGAGGTTAAAAGAAGAGGGCGAGACGTCTACCCTTCAGACGAGCAAATACACCAATAGAATGTGAGAGACTGATCAATCATCCCGAATGATAAAAATGCTTTCAGGAAATAATGTTTTTTTTTCCAGATTCAACTGCACGCACGTGAGTATGTGGTCGCTACGCTCCTTAAGTAAAATTACAGTGTATTTGTATGAGGTAAAAATACGATCCTAAAATTTGTAGGAAATACCGAATAAAAGTTAACATAATACTCTGCAGTTAGTTATTTCGTGATAATTTCGTCAAATTCACCCTCCATACAATAAAATACGCAAGATAGGTGGCAGGAGATGACATCTCAGCCGCCATTGCTCCCTTTTCAACACCACGTTTTCCACGAAATTCAAACTCTAACGGTAAGTAAACACGCGCTAGGCTCGTAGAAATCGGACTGCACCAGACCATGGAACCCAATGAAGCTTTCCCAGCTAGAGAAACGAATCCATTACATTTTGTGAAATTCGAAATAGAGAACCCAAAAATGGCCGAGACTGCTCGTGCCGAAGCCTGGTCGGGCTCAGTTCGAAGCAAGGCCAAACAAATAAGCCTCTAGACACTGTACTGATATCAAATCCATCCAGGGTTGCCTGAGGTATACGGACCTATAACACTTGCCCATAGTCCACAGTTAGCTTTCCCCGCTGGAAACATATTTGCTCGAGGGCAATTAAGAAAAAAAGAAACATATAATAGCTGATCATGATGGCTGAGTTTTGTAATTTATAAACTCTCGGGGAACTCCAACGTTTGCCATTTTCTTTTTTTTTTCAAGAAGGTTAATTGACCACGACGGCAGCGACTAAGGCTGTGTGCAAACGGACCCAACAACTCCCAACATTGTTGCGCCAACAATGTTGGGAGTTGTTGCGTGCGTGTTGGCAGTAGTGTGCAAACGGATGCAACAACTCCCAACAATGTTGGGACCTGCAGTACATCGTGGGAAGGATACAACCCATAAGTCTTTGTAAACCATGCGTAATGAGCGTGCGTGGCCCCAACAATGTTGGAAGAGCTGTGCAAACGGATCCAACATTGTTGCGCTACCCTTCGGCGATCACGGAACAAAAAAAATGTTGGGGGTTGTTGGCTGAAAAGTTTGACCGGTTTCAAACTTTGCGCAACAACACGCAACAACATCCAACAACATGCAACAGGGTGTGCAGACGGAGCCAACATGTAACATCCAACACTGTTGGGAGAGTTGTTGGTCAACAATGTTACATCCGTTTGCACACAGCCTAAAAACTACAACATTACAGTAATAGTATAAGCCTGATTAGCAAAACATTAACTTGTCACGTGTATCAAGCGTTTTTGAAAAAAAAAAGAAAAAAAGAAAAGAAAAGCGAGATGAACGTGCCAAGATGATGTTAGTGCTAATCAGGCTAATACTCTTAATTGCTTTTTTGTTGTTATTTTTTTAATGGCAAACTTTGGAGTCTCATCTCGCCGTCACCTTGAGACCTTGAAGCAAGAGCTAACTGATTTCAAGCAGCCCGACAACAAAACACAAGCAAAATAAAGAAACGCTCTTGACACATACCATTCACCATATTCACGTAGACCATAATGCACTTTGTTTATGTCCCAGAACTTTGCATAACCATTGTTTTCGATTTCTCTTGGGACGACTGTAATACCCAAGAGAAATTGGAAACAATGTATGCAAACTTCTGGGGGGTAAATAAGGTGCATTATGGTCTGACACTTTCATCTATCCGGGGAATGTCGATCAGAAAATGCACCATGTTTTGACGGTAAGGTCTCTCGTTCCTTGCGTAAACCTCTTCTGTTCGTTTCTGGACAGTTACCATTTTAAATGATGTGGGCTCTTTTTTGTCTTGTCGCGGTGCGTCCCTCGCTCTCCAGAATGACGATTAGGTACCAGGTGAATGAGCACAAGCGTGGTGGTGTTTGATAGACAGGAGGCGTTTGCACTGTCGCAATTCATTGCAATACTAATCATTGCACTTTGTTACACCTGCCGCAATTTGTAATTTGGCAATCACTGACACAATTCTTTCGTATTTTGAAACATTCGGTCGTAAGGGATCAGAAACGCCTTTAATTTGAATACCCCGCTGGTAACCCCTATTAGTTACAGAAAAGAAACGTCGTTGTTTTTTCTAAGGATTTCATCGCAAACGGGACATAAATCAGCATTCATGCGCGTATTTCTCACGTTGTCAAATCAAAGATCAAATTTTGGCGGAACCTTGCTATGCTACTCGAACAAAAAGACCAAAATCTTAAGCAATTTTTTTCTTCACACCTTTTTTTTACCATCTAATTAAAGGTGGATGAACACAGTTTAATAGGGTGTGAATCATTACCATTCATTTCAGGGGTGTTATTCAATACTCGTTGCAGGTGTCAGTAAAGTTGAAAATTTGCCACAGGCAAAACAATCATACTTATTAGACATAGCTATGATTAACATTTATTAGGTTAAACGTAGGTTTTCCAACATTGCCATGGAAACATGGAAGATTTCAAACAATCCTAACGTTTTGAAGGTCTACGCAAATTCTAGTCATCAGATTTTCTTATATTTATATTGTATAAATACAAGTAAAAATATAAATATATATATTTGAAAGCCATAAGTCCAGTCGATTTTTGGAAAATTAAAATCGCCCAGAGAACGACATTAAACAGTTGTGTGGATGAATATCTTTGCAGGAATTCCTGGAACTTGACAAGAAACAGCTCATCAGGCTCAGGAGGACGATAAAACACCGACAGCAGAAAACAAAAAGAAGACTAAGACTTGTGTAAATTACACAGGCCAGCATTTCCACTTCTGTCTCAAGATCTGTTCTCCTTAACCCTTTCACTGCCAGAGTGTTTGGTAGAGTTTTGTAAGGTGACTCTAACTTTTGAGTATGTGGACGAAATCCTATGATGTGACCATTCAAATGAAAGCTCTCTGCCTGAACTCACACATGGCGCTATTTGTTGTCCAAAATTGTACAAAATGAAATTTGGAAATCTGGTCGAAATTTGCCTTTGGCTAGATTTGGCAGTGAAAGGGTTAAACAAGTGAGGTGGAATTTAACCGCAAGCAAGACCCCTCCGCCTCTCTTTCCTTGCCTGTATTTCCGATAAACATTTAATAGCCCCGCAAGTGTAATTCATGATCAGATATGCTGCTTAGGTTTCAGTGATCGCAACATGCAATAGACTCCGAAGATCTGTGATTTTGTCGCGTAGACTTCTTGAATTGAGAACCAGACATTTATGATAAGCAACGTGTGGCCGCCGCTCGCCTCCAATCAGAGGCCTCCTCTCCTTTTCTCCCCTCGCGAGTCCTCGAGATTTTTTCCTCTTAAAGATTGGCGCCTGCTACGCAGGCTAAAAATTCCTGGCTCAAATTAAAAGTGTCCGGCTTTAATTAGTTCGGCTGTTGATAAGGCAATTGACTCTTTAGTAAAATCATAATAAAAAAGGATTTTTTTCATCATCTCTTTGACAGTGAATAAAATCAATTCATTCTGTAAAGTATATTATAAATAACGGACAATATGTAAAAGATCTTAAAACAGTTTCGCACTTCCCGGCATTTGCGTCTTGAGTTGGAGGGCACGTTATTTAAATTCAAACTATTGAAAAAAGAGTATAGGTTTTAGAATAAACTGTAAAATCATGATGTCATTTTTATTCACAAATCGTTACAAAAACAACACTGAAACAAAGCATTAACAAAAGTTTTGCATGAGAATAAAGCTAAAACATTAAAGTTTAATTTGTTATCACTGATGCACTGAAGATCAGACCATAAGAAAGGCGAAGGAGTCTCATTTCAAAGTTACATACAAGCCTTGAGGTGAGAGATCTTCCGGGTGTTCCTTGTTGAAGTAAAACCTTTTTGTAGTAGGACCCTGTAGATGTGGATAACTAAAGGTAAGTCAGGAAAAACTTGGTCACTGAAAAGGCGAAGGCCGCTTCGAGGAAAACACGCACGAAGACCTCAGCGAATGTTTTGCTACATGTGAACACGAATAGCCAAGTAAATTCCTAGAAAGTGCGGAAAAAATAAAGGTTAATGGGGTGGTGGCTTTTACGGTTATAGGCTTAAGTTATGTTTTTTTTTTAAGGCTATCGGTTATTTTTTTCTAGTTACGGTAAACAAAAAAGCTAAAAATTAAATATTTTTTGTTTCAAAGAGTTAAATATTAATAAACCTGTAGTTTTTGTATCTTTAAAGCAAATAAATGTCTTAGGGCGGATCATCTCGGGATGAAATAAGTTTTTCTTTTGAAAGTTTTAAATATTGTTAGATCATTCTTTTAAAGTATTCCACTTCTAAAATCATTTTACGCATAGACATTTTGACTATGAAAAAGGATATCAAGCTGTTTGTCGTCTTTTGCATCTTAGCGTGATTTCCTTCTTATTCGTTCTTCGCGTCGTCACTTTATTTTTGCTACCCTCTTCTCTTTTTACTACCACGATAGGGTCTTTACCCCAATGAAGAACTTGTACAACATGAACTAAAAAGGACAAGCAAACAGTTTGAGAACTGGAACATTTCTGTGACTCTCGTATTTACAAGGGTCGGAGCAAGGCTGAGAAGTGCGGCTTTGAAAATCTTTTGCCGCACGTAATTTCGTTGCTATGACAACTCCGATGTCATTGCAACCCTGATCATAACAAATTTCCATCTCTATTTAATACAACTGTGGTGGCAATTTTCCAAATCTTTGTTTATGACGACGTAATTTATGTTCAAACTTGGGAGGTGTTGACCCTGAAAAACTGTATCGAGCCACCCTAATCAACTGCGTTGATAAAATTTGCAGATCATCAAGATGCCTTTCACAGGCCCATTCTTTGCTCTGACTTATCATTCTTTCTCCATGATAAATAGCTACTCTGAATTTTACCAGAGAGTTGAGGCCAATTACTCAATCATTTAGCGTTTTTGTCACCTGAGTATCAGTTTGTCTATCGAAAGGAGCTCCAATTTGCATTGCTAAGTTGTTCAATTTTAAAATCTCGTTCTAATGCTGGAGCGGCTTGCATGTAGACTTGCCACAAGTCGACCTCAGGAGCTTCTAAGCGAGCGGAGCGGGCTTTTTAGGCCACGAATAGAAGCGGCCGAGCAAAATAGAGGTCTTCATCTTTATCCCGCGCCATACAAATCGGACGAAGGACTTTTTTAAAGTTTAGCTTGCATACTTGATGTCCAAAATACAAAGTGAAGTCGACATGATGTGGGGTGGAACGCTGCACGCGGTATAGTGCACATAATTCCGACTAGTAGTCTTCCCTTACCCAAGCTCAGAGATCATGATTGCATTGTCAAAGCCCCAGGGAGGGGGAGGTACTTCCTAGTAATAGGCTAATGGGGATGTGCCGCTAGATGAGGTCGTATTTCACGGATTGATTGACTATAAAGAGGTTCCATTTTCATTAGAGTTACTAGAATGGGATCGCACATTCTCGGCATTTGGGAGATCAGAAAATTCAGCAGGGATTTAAAAATGGGAAGATTTTCACTTTATTAAGTTTCACTTCAGGATGACCTTGTTAAAGGGCCTTATACAAGAGATACATACACAAAAAGTTATTGGGATCGCGAAAATTACATATTTACCCAAAAGTGACTAAGATGAGGTCTATATTTGGCCACAGAATAGACTATAATGGGGTATAGGGGCTCTGAGAGGCCAGCGGCACATACCCAGCAAAATTTAACCAAAGTAACCCCCCTCCCACCCGGGGGGGGGGATCAAAGCAGTGAATTCACTTACATTAACAAGGGTAACTTGCACTATGAATTAAGAAATTCTTTTTCTTGACAGAAATGAAGTTCAACAGTATCCTTCTGCACATGCTCATCTGCTCTTTCTCCAAGACGGCTATAGCAAGTCAATGTAAGGCAGCTTCTTACTCCGTACAAGATCACTTGCTTACAAACCACACCATCAAGGCCGGGCCTGCAGAGCTGATTGAACACTGCATCTCTCGTTGCATCAAACATCCCGGTTGCCATAGCAGCAACTTTTATAGAAAGAGAGGATGGTGTGAGCTGAATGATAAAACGCAGGCTTCCCACCCTGAAGATATGAGACAAGTTCGATTTACAAACTACATGGAGAATACTCTCAGACCTTTTAGCTGCATCACCCACCCAGACTGTGGCAGTAATTTGATTTGTTCTTTATCAAAGTGCGTAGGTGAGTTGGTAACGGTTCGCCACCAGGTATAAGTAATCTCTTGATGCAAAATTATAAATGGGCAGTACGGTGCACAGTGTGCTTAGCTGGGCGATTTCTTGCGCGCTGATCAGTCGAGGTTTCTCTTGTTGAAGAGCGTAGGTAGTTCGATCGGTTACGGGTAACGCCCAACTGGTTAGAAGAAACGTCTTGACCATTAAGGGCCCTGCTTTTATAAGAGGTACGCCAGCCCGGTTAGCCGGAATGGCTCGCTTAACAGTGCTGGATCGGCTCATGCCTTGTTTCCTTTTAAAAACGGTCCTCTTGTTTATATATGAAAAGGTGGGCCGGCCTGCTTGCCGAATTCTCGGCTCGTCGCCTCTGATCGGCAAGCCAGGCCAGCTCGGCTCAGTCATATAAACACAACGACAATTTTAAAAGGAAGCAAAGCATAAGCCAAGTCAACCTGGCTGACCGGGCTGGCTAACCTCATACAAACAGGCCCTATAGAGTCTTATGCTACTAAGTGTACATTGTGCACACGATGTAAAATTTCCTTTATAAATAAGTTACATACGACAAAACTATAGGACCTATAGCACGTAAAAAACAGGAGAGACAGTAAGTCACCGCCCTTCTTTATTCACCTTAATTTTACATCTTTGATACATTGGCCCCTGGACCCGGGCTGTGCAGGGTTAAGTTTGCATTTATCTTCCAGATTCAATCTAGTCGTATATATATATATATATATATATATATATATATATATATATATAATTAATCGAACCTTCATACATCGAATAGAATCGATCGAGAGCTGTACACTCGTTGGTTTTACCACGGATCAAACGTGTTGATTGAGCGTTGTCCAACAAATTGTTAGTTGGTGTTAAATCCATACAACGGAACCAAATAAGTTTCAACTCTTTTATTTTACTAATTAGAAATAGATCTAGCATCATCCATCAAGATTAAGTCAACGCCCAAAAAGGTACTTATGTGGATCCAGAAATGACAATGGCCGACATCAATGAAGTCAGTGAACGCGTATCGACTTCAGTTTAAGTTACATTTAGCCACAACTTGATGTTAAATAATAAGGTTTGTATTTTACTAATCGAAATTTCGGATTTTATTTACAGAATGCAGTATTTATGCACTTGGAATGGAAAACAATCTCTTGCCGAATTCTGCCATCACCGCCTCCTCGGTATGGCCGCACATCACTGGACACGACTCTTGGAGAGCCCGTCTCAATAATGTTCCAAATGGGCACGCGGGCTGCTGGGTAGCGGGAAATAATAAAGTCGGCGAGTGGTTGCAAATTGACTTGACGAAGGAGAGGCTGCTGACAAAACTTGCCACACAGGGAAGGCCTGCCTCAAATCAAAGGGTGACGTCATACAGCCTTTGGTTGAGCTCAGACAACGTCAAATGGGAAGAATACAAGGAAAATGGAGTTGTAAAGGTATGCGATGCTGATTTGATCAACAAGAATCCCGCGTGATCCGGTCACCGAGAAATGAGGGGAAGTCTCATGCAAAGAATGAGCGAAGGGGTTAAGGGATCACATGGGTAGCCTGGGAGCGTCGAGCTCTTCTGTTTGCTGTTCTTTTCTGCTCTTACGATTAGTTTTGCGAGCTAAGCGGCAGACGTTCACTGCCGCGTGCCCTAAGGTTCTTTTTCTTCAATGACCGTGACCGCTTTAAATAATGTAAACTGTTACTTTTTGTTTTAAAAGATTCTCCTAATGATCACGTTGAAGAGGACGACCAGGCCATCAAAATAACTTACCTTACACTACTACATGAGAAATTTCTGCAATTTGATTGGCTTAGAGCAGTGAAATTTCAGCTTAATTTGAAATACCTATAGGTGAAAATTACAAACCTTTTGTGGGTAGTAGTATAAACAAATAATAGCATGATTTGTACGTGATATTTGGCATAAATACCACTCGTAATATTTCAAAATTGTCTCAAATTACGTATAACAATTTCGAAATATCACCCGTGGTATTCATGCCAAATATCACTACAAATCATGCTATTACCTATACAAATTCATGCAGCTCTACATAAGTGCTGTTGTAAGCATTGCGAAAGAAGTAATGTCAATAAAAAGGATTCGTAATTAATAGTCACAGTGGCTAACTAACTGGATTTAAACTAATGACAGAGAAACTAACGACGGGGTGTCAAACCACTAAACAAAGTATTAACATGAATGATGGTTAAAAATAAAAAGTCCTGTTCATGTTGTGTCTGTGGCGATAAATCAATAAAAAATTGTTGAGCTTATTGAAAAAGACAAATAGATGATGATAAATGCCGTTGCTTCGTGCTGGAAAAACACTAATCTGCTCTAGCAACTACGTAGTTTTCAGCGTACACCAAATCAGCCTGGGGGGAGGGGGGCTACTTGGGTTAATTTTTGCTGCGTATGTGCCGCTGGCCTGTCAGCGTGCCTACCCCATTATCGGTCTATTCTGTGGCGAACTATAGACCCCATCTTAGTCACTTTTGGGCAAATATGTAATTTTCGCGATCCCAACTTAGTCACTTTCTATTTTTATGAATTGACCCGTATTTTAGATTGAATGAAGAACACTTTACTTTTCATCTGCATTGCTAACCGGAATTATGAAGAACTGTCTTACCCCAAAAAATCCGAAAATGTGCGACCCCGTTCTAATAATTCTATTTAAAATGCGACCCCATTCTAGTAACTCTATTTAAAATGCGACCCCATTATAGTCAATCCAGTCGTGAAAACGCGACCCTGTCCAGCGGCACATCCCCATTAGCCTCTTAGAAGGAAATACCCCCTCCCCCCTCCCACCGGGCAAATCAGGAGGTAACCAGTTGCTTATTTACTAGTATGACCGTGGATTTGAACTCTGAACAATCGCAAAACACTGAATCCACGTCGAATAACGTCAGTGCGCATGGCAGAAATTGAGTATACACAAGTCGTTACTGAGCCACAGCCCGAATAGTATTCAAGCAAACAATAAAATTAAGTATAATCGTAATTAATTGAGATATTTCTCAATTTTTTCATCAATAAGTTTTAACGTTCGTAGTTTATTATCGTCATCTATTATTTTTATTCTTTTTTATTCTTTTTTTTTTCGCTCCTGCTTCTTCTTACTTTTGCAGGTTTTCACTGGAAACTCGGACAGCAACACAATTGTGTCACACGTTTTAAAGGCAAAGTTCACGACCAGATACGTGCGATTTGTTGTGCAGACGTGGTATGAGCACATATCCATGCGAGTGGAGCTGTACGGCTGCGCTGAATCATAGCTGAAAACTGCTTTGGTCTCTCCGATCCTCTATTTAGTCCAGTCCTGATAATACCTTAGCAGTCACCGGCACTCGGCTTTGAAGACCAGGAGAATACATAATTCTTTTCCATTCTTTCGTTCTTTTATTTTTGTTTATTCAGCCTGGAATAATACGCACATAGACTCCAAATGAACTAAAGTTCGATTTCTTACTATGAATTGTATCGACGGATAAATATGACGGTATACTTTATAAAATGTGTTTACCCCGGCGTAACTGGCGCATCATCAAAAATATACCGCATGATTAACAGTCTTAATACTGCCTAATGACTGAGCACGTTTCAATTTTAATTCGCTTGACATTACAGCGACATCTGAGGTTATATGTTCATATCACTATTAATACCGGATAACTCTTGCGCTGGCGCGAAAAACATACCGAATGGGACTTTTGTTCATACATAGGAAGGGTAATTTGGCGCTATTTTTTTAACGGAGCAAACCTGAACTGAACAAAATTGTGTATAACGTCACCCATCGAGGGGAGGAAGGCCTCCCCTGTGTGGCAAAATTTGTCAGCAGCCTTTCCTCCCCGAGATCAATTTGTAACCACTGGCCAGCTTCATTCGAATCCGTCGACCAGGAGCCCCAAAATTTGCCTTTTGGAACCTTACTGAGACGTTCCAGCCAAGCTCCGTGTGCAGAGGTCCCATATTCCGAGGCTGGACCGATGGACGAATTCGGCAAGAGGCTTCGTTCGTTCGGTAATAAGGCGCTTAGCAACAACAACGGCGACGGTAACGAGAACGTCAAAAAAGCAACAGGTATATTAAGCAAAACAACAACACGTGTATCATACTTTTTTTTGTACATTTCTTTGCCGTCACTGCACGACTACGACGTGAAAATGCCTAATTTCACGTTTCATGGAGGGCTTACACAAGGGACGACGAATTTTACATCACCTTTATAAACTTGAGTGCAGTCCTCAAGAGATTAACTCCAGGGAAATTCGCCTACATTTGACATTTTTAGCGAATTGTAACTATAAACCCGAATTCATTTTAAAAGTGACGTTTTCGCTGCCGTCGCCGGCGTCGATGCTTTTAGGTTCCCTTTCTAAGGGTGATAGACGCGCTGAAAGGAAGGAATATCATTTTTCAATTTTTTCTTTTTCCTAGAGCTTTTGACAGTAAAGATGTAGTATGTAACTTAAATAGCAATGGTGACACGACAATAAAACGCTTAAATTTAGACTTAACTTACAAGGGGGTACCCTGTTTGGGTGCCACGAATTTATCCAAATTCAGAATGTTATATCTCAACTCATATTTGAGATACTGGAGAAGTTTTTTAGCTCTCAAATACCCTTCAATTACCTCATCGATGTTAGTGAAGTTTAAGCGAAATCTATTAAAGCGTTAGTTTGGAGTTTCAAGATTATTGATATCTCATAAGGCGGCAAAATAAGGCCTACAATTCGCTATTTTTTTTGTCGGAAATTTTGTGTTTACAAGTGATCTATCGAGCGGTTTTCAAATTACTCTCTTATTTGTTTAAGTAGACCAAAATGTTTACAAAACCTCTAACAAGTGCGTCTCGATACATAATAATCAAATATTTCTATCTGGCAATCGGCAAAGCTTCCTCCATGATCTTACACACACGTTTTTAAAAAGATGGAACTGACTATTATGAGGTGAAATTGCATATCAAAGCGCTTCGATGTCTTCAGATAACGGCCGAACATCAAGATTGTCTAACTATTACAGTGTTTTTCTGACAACCATAAAAGCTTTATCCCTGAAATATCTCGAAAACACTCTAATAGATTTCGCTTAATAAACTTCCCTAACACTAAAGCGGCTTTTGAAGAAAAAAGCTCTCGTGAACGATTCTGGAAGGAGAGTTCGCAGTGCCTAGAAATACAGCTGCAAGAAAAAGGGAAAATGGCGTCATTTCGTTGCTATGACAACTCCGATGGCATGATTGTAACCCTGATCGTAACAAATTTTCACCTTTATCTAATACAGCTCTCCACTGCATGGTGGTAATTTTTCAATAGCGACGTAGTTAATGCTCAAACTTGGGAGGTACTGACCCTGAAAAACCCCATCGAGCCACCTTAAAGCTGGGCAGTTTTACCCTAACGATTTGCGATATTAAAATTGCAAATGACCATGTAAGTTATTAATAATTGATCAAAAATAAATTTTTCAGATTTGGATTGTTTTACAATCAAATTTTATTAATTGCGTTTCAGGAAAGTAAACCTTGGTAATTTTGTTTCGGGATTGTTCCTTTTAACATCAACAATCCAGGGAAAACTGCAGGGTAAGGACTGTCACTTCGATCCGTTACGTTCAACTAACCTATAGACTAACCAAAGCCAGTAAATCCAAGATAGCCGATTATTCAATGAAATAAGGCATTTTGTTTCGCTTTTAAAACCAACAGCATATGTCACCGAGTTAGAATGGTGGGCTGATATGAATCTTAAATTTTTATCTCCTAGAAAAATAAATAGGGGGTGATCGTTTTTACGATTTTATTTTTCTTCTTAGGCAATGACCATAAGTTTTCATTAATTTCTCATTGTTATCTCATTTGTAAAAGTGCATCGAAATATGGATGTATAATTTTAAAAAGTGATGCATTGTAGGCACCAACGCGTATTGATCATGCTTTTCAGACCGGCCACCGTAAACCTCGACTTTTTGAGAGATTCCTAGTATTCCTTACAGATTACAGCGGAACGTAAAAAGCTATTGAAATAATAGGCTAAAACACTTGTTTCCTGGCAATAAGACTGAGAAAAGACTTATGCTACATAAATACCCTCTTCAGTTGTAATAGCGTTAAATTTATTTCTTTAATTAAAGTACTTTTTTGGGGGGTGCTCCGATGAGGAATATTCATCTCGCGCCCTCTTGTTTTTACTTTTTTATCGTTGTTTGTTCACCTAGGCTCGAACAATTAGTTTTATTTTGTATTTGTAAAATAATTATTGTTGCACGGCCTAGTTTAGTTAAGTTTATTTAAAAAACTTAATTGCTTCCTCTAGAAGGTGTTTTCAGCTGTGATATGGCCGTTTTCTCAACAAACTTCGTTTGCGTAGGACGCAGTCATCGGTTCACACTTTTAGCAAAAGACTCTCATGGTGATTGGTTTAGCAAATAATGTTTCCAGTTTTGCCTCATCCCGACATTTTAACAATTTATTAGCTTTTCTTTTCACTTGAACCGTGTTCAGCAGAATTTTAGTCATTTTTTCAACCTTACTAAAATTCAGGATTTTTAACAACTGGGTATAATAACCTTCCAAAACGACCTGAATTTTTCTACCAAAAATTCGGCCTATTAGAATTTAAGAAATATCATCGAAGAAATTACTGCGCGAATTCATCCATTTAATAGAGGTTCAATTCAATCCCTTTGTTTCCAAGCTCCCATCCTTAATTACCTTGAAACACCTATTTTCTGCATATAAATGCATGCAATATATACTTTGTAAACTGTAACCTGTTACATTGCCTTAGCTTAGATAAATAAACTGAAAAGTACCGAGACTTCACGTTGTAGTTTCATCGAAAGTGTTCTCTACATAAAACTATCCTTTAACGTCGTTAACTTTATGAATCTGACAGAAATGAATTTCATCTGTATCCTTCTGCACATGCTCATTTGCTGGTTCTCCAAGATGGCTATCGCAAGTGCCACCGCAAGTCAATGTAAGACGGCTTCTTACTCCGTACAAGATCACGTGCTTATAAACCACGTCATCAAGGCCGGGCCTGCAGAGCTGATTGAACACTGCATCTCCCGGTGCATAAGACATCTCGGTTGCCATAGCAGCAACTTTTATCGGAAGAGCAGATGGTGTGAACTGAATAATAAAACGCACGCTTCCCACCCTGAAGATATGAGACAAGTTCCACTTACAAACTACATGGAGAATACTCTAAGACCTCTTACCTGCAACAACGACTCAGACTGCGGCAGCACTTTGATTTGCTTTCTTTCAAAGTGCGAAGGTGAGCTCGAGTTTGGTGACTAGCTGATCTTACTAGGCTATACCACAGAATTTCCTTCCTCTTCTCTGCAACTAAGCCCGAAAGCGGGGACGGTCCGAACATTCGGCGAGAAGAAGACCTTCGTTCTTCGAGAGTCCTAAGTTGTGGGGGAGGAAAATGACGTGGGAGCACCAGGGAAGGCGTGAGAGGAAGCAGCCCAAACAGCGGGAGGTTTTACCCGTACCTTCTCCTATCCCCAAGTTACTTTGAGTTAGAAGCAGAAGGACCACTATTTAAAAGTCATATACTATCAGGCGCTCTCACTGCGGATGATAAAGTTCGTCTGTTCTGTTTTGTTTCGTTCTGTTCCACCACTAGGATAATTAATGGTGCTAGTAAGCACACATTCTCTCTTAACTGTGTTACCACACAGAATATGGCCTTATGGTAAATACCTTGATTCGATTACTGTCATGTTTCGCTGTCTGCCATTATTTTATTGTTCACAGTCCAGCTTGGTCAGTCGCACCTTTTTTGACCACAAGGCTGTTCATTACGACTGTAGGCTTGTTCAAATTCTAAACTGTACTTTAAAAGAAACAACTGTACTTCAAAGTCTTAAACGTATTTTTTCTTCTTTAACACAGAATGTAGCACTCGTGCACTTGGAATGGAAAATAATGTATTGCCAAACTCAGCCATCACAGCTTCAACAGTATGGCGGACCGTTGGACACGAACCTTGGCTAGCTCGTCTAAATAATGTTAAAAATGGCCACATGGGATCCTGGTCGGCGGATTTGAATGAAGCTGGACAGTGGTTACAAATTAACCTTGGGGAGGAGAGACTGGTGACAAAACTCGCCACACAGGGGAGGCCTTCCTGGTCCCCTCCTCAATGGGTAACGTCATACAAAATTTTGTTTAGTTCAGACAGTGTACATGTCAAATGGGAGGAATACAAGGAAAATGACGTTGTGAAGGTATGGATTTTATGGATGGATTTTTTTATGGATTTTTAGCTAGTTTTTACTTAGCTAGCGGCGTCTAGTAGGAGTCGGAGTAGTAAGCGGAGTCGTGACATCGTTTAAAACCTGTTGAAAATAAAAATTCGGACCGGACTCGTAATCGGAGTTATCATAGCGGCGCAATCGGAGTGGGAAGAATCAAAACGTTTCCGTTTTCTTCCGACCCGCTTACCATATGTCTCCGTCGCTTACGATCAAGTGAAACTATCACGTTGTCGGAGTTGGATGCAGAAACGCAATAATGAACCAATCACAATGTTAGTTCCTACGCTTTGTGTTTGGTTAAGGTCTTCCGCTTTTGCTCGCCAGAGGGGGTTTGTTTTAAAAGTAACGTTTTCAAACATCCAGCCGCATTTATTTATTTATTTAAATTAGTTAACTATTTTGTTAGCTAGGTTGTTTATTTGCCATTCGCCACTTTAAAATGAAAAGGGAACTGGGTCGAGTTAACTTTCGCAAAGACTTCTGGGACTGTTATTGGAGACAAGGAAAAATATTGGCCAATAGCTGATCGGCGCGTCCCAAGTAATACTTAACATTTAATTTCGGCTCCAGCTCCCTTCTTTTTTTCTAAAGGTGCGCAAATTGGAATATTGCTTTGGCCTTTCCTAACAGGTTTCTCTATTGAGAATCGACGTCATGGGTTACTTTGTATCAACAATCTTCCCAATGCAATTTACCGTTAAGTCTGACTTTAAGAAAAACTGCTTCTCTGTGAACGTTGTTATCGAATGAATGTATTTCAAAGTAATGAATTGTACACATTTATTTCCTTTGCAGGTTTTCACTGCAAATTCTGATCGCAACACCATCGTGTCACACGTTCTAACTCCAAGGTTCCGGGCAAGATACGTGCGATTTGTTGTGTTGACATGGCATAACCATATATCTATGCGAGTGGAGCTTTATGGCTGTTCTGCACCATAGATGAAAATTAAACTAACCGAGTGGCAGAGGTTCATTTAGTGTTAACCGCGTTTTGGTATCTAAGTGACGCTTCTGATCTTGTGATCTTGAATCGTTGAAAAATAGTATCTGATGGATAGAAACACCTTTTCTCTCGTCTTTTGTGTTATTGAACCCTTGTACATCGCACTTTTGTACTATTTCTTTGCGTAATAACAGTTGTTACGGGGAGAAATTACTAGGAAATATGCTTGCCGCGAAAAAGAATGCCCTGAAATGACGTCACAATCATTCCCAGTCTCCTGTTTTCACTTGCGCGGTATTGTAGTGCCCTGGAAGTGAAATTTCACGATTTCAGTGGCTCAAAACAAGGGAAAGAAAAATCACTATAGAATTTTTTTTTTGCTCTCCTTATCAGTTCACTGTCTAGATTGTATCAAACAAATAAAAAAACACTTGTAAAAACTTGTTTCATATTCACTTTTAACTTCAACAACAATCACCCTATTCTCTCACGGCCACTTGAGCACTGAGAAAGAAGATCATATAACACAGTAAAAGGGCAAAGATGCTCGTCAGTTATATTATAGACAATCCGTTTACCTTCCTCGTCTTTCACCTCTCCGTAGTGGAGCGCGGGCTTGGATGCGAAGGAGAAAATCGAGAGATAAAGACTTGCTCCTGCCATCCTGCGCGTCACGTTAGACGACTGGGAATGAGCCAGTCTGTTAAAGCTCTGTAAGCAGGCGCAGTAAGATGCAACACAATTGATTTGCATAAGACGGTTAAGAAGATGAATATACGAAAACAGCAGACGTTCCCTGTTAGAGACCGCAGGACGCCAAGACGCTATGAGAGCTGTTTATATCAGTTTGAGAAGATTCGCAATAAAAGCGATTATCATTCGTTGCAAATTTTTCTTCCTTTGCATTGGCCGAGAGCCCACCACGTGACCTGCAACTAACTGCCTACAAATAATGGTCTGCTCATGCGCAATGTCGTCCAACTTTGTTTCGCTGCAAATAATGTTCTGCTCATGCGTAAATGAAACCACGCTTTTCTCATTCTTGCGATCGCTCTTGCGTGAAAATGGCAGATCGCTTCGCTTCCCGAAGATATTCCTTATGAAAACAAACCCGGTAATCGAATGATAAAACAATTATTGAACTCGGTTATCGCAAAATATCGCGAATTGTCAGTGGCGAGCAGATCAATTGTTAATTGTTCGTGTCTGTGTTGTGTCTTCTACTTTCGGGAAATGGGAAGGCACTCCCTTGGCCTAAACGGAAAAGTGATGTAGAATGTGACGGTTACGGTCCTGACTTCCTCGTTTTCAAAATTGCCCAAAATATCTGACAGCATCAAACAACATCGTGTTAATGCAGTTATCTCCTACGAGAGAACCCTGGGAACGAGGTGGTCGAGGACAAATAATAATGATAATAATAACATTTACCTTTATAGCGCCATTTCCGTTGCTGTCCAATGGTGCTTTACAACAACAATTATTTTTTAAAGAAAAATAGATAAGTAAAATGAATTAATAAAAATGCATTCTTTTTAAAACCCAGTTTAAAATTAAGCTATGCGTTAAAAATTCACAATATTTTTAGAATAAAAATGTGAATAAAATCAATTCAAATAAAAAGAAAATGTAGGAAATATGTTTCTAGGACGAACATAAACTAAAAGCCTTCTTAAAAAGAAAAGTTTTGAGTAAAAGTTTTTAAAATTGATTAAGACAACAGCAGTGCCTCATATTCTGGGGTAATTTGTTCAACAGAGCAGGGGCTGTGGATGAGAAGGCTCTGTAACCATACGTTTTTAAATTATAGGACATATTGACGAGACGATTGTGGTAGTGGTAAGGGGGTGGGGAAAGGGGTGGGATAAGGGGCGGGGGTTGAACTAGGTGCCTCCGTATTGCAGGTCTAGCCCTCTTACCGCGTGCCCACGCTCCCTCTTCCTCCTCCGAAGATTAATGATATATTGCTTGATTATCAGTTTATCGATTGGCTACGCCTGGTTCCAGCCGGCTCGGGTTTAACCTGACTGTTTGAGACATTTACAAATGGCCATTGTTACAAGTCATTAATGATTGATCAAAAACAAATTTTCAGATTGGCAGTTTTAAAAAGAAATTTAATTGAGCCAGGTTAATGAGAAAAATCGATTGTTCTCGTTTATTTGTATTAGGTTCGGCACAATGTGAAATGCGACGTCTGAACCGGACACTGTAATCATTATAATTTCATGCTTCGAGATCTAGAACATCCTCACAGCAACAGTCCAGGGAAGATATAGGTAAGATTAACGGTTAGACATTTAGCTGCATGATTGTGTCTTCCATCCGATATCCTCCATTATAACTACAATCAAGAGCCAAAGCGACAATCTGTTCAAATTTAAAACAACATTTTTAGCAAACTTGTTCGAGACGGAGAGGTTGGTATTTGTCTGATATTTCCCTTGAAAGTATAAATAGCACTGAATGATTCGATTTTTCCTTAGGCAATGAAGTAAAAGTTTCATTTTCCAGCGCCCCGTGTTTCGTTGAAGTGGCAAACCACTAGAACTCCTTCCACGTGTAGTATTTGTCTATTTGAAAAGCATTTGCTACCCAGCAGTAAATAGAAACTTAGGCTGCGTCATTGCCCTCAATTCGTTTGCACATCGGTACCAGATGTCCGCCTCTTAAAGAACGCCATATTACAAAAGAACTTTCTAGCTATAATTTCAAATTGCCTGAAAAATGCCTTTTGCTTCGATAGTGATGACTGTTTATCATGCGTTGCCATCGTGGTGTCCTCTTTTTTTTTTTTTGTTACAAAGATAGATACTTTCCGGCTCAGTTAAAAAGATATATACACTTAGTTTCCATGAAGTATTTTATACTCTGATATACTGGTCGAGATTCTTTTAAATATATTTCGCTGTTACTAGGACGATTGTTCAGGAGCTGATCGTTGGTTATACCTAGAACTTTGTTAATAGACAATTTTTATATCCATTCGACATTCTACTGTTGAGAGACAAATATACGAAGTTTATGTTTTAGAAAAAACGATCCCGAGAAAAACAAATCCCAAATGGTTATTATCTTTGTTACTAATTGATGAAAAAATTTCAGAACTGAAAGTTTCAACTGAAACAAGTTTGTATCATGATTCAGATTGTCACATTAAAATAGCTGTAGCGGTAAGTGTCGGGTTAGTTAAACCTCATTTTGTCCGCTAACATCATATCTTCACAGCCTTACAAAATAGCTAAAAAAATATCCATGCAAAACACACCCGGCAAGATATATCTGCTTCTTTCACAGAGCGACTTGTTTTTCATGAAATTAGACATATTAATTTTCATATTCTTCCAATGTTTTTTAGTAGATGTTTCGAATCGATCTGCAAGTTATATATAAAATATCTGACATAGTGTAACGTGATATTGCAGATCTCGGAGGCCATTGCCTGACATTTGCATTCGTACGGGAATGGAGTAGACCTGATCCTGAAATATATAAGGCTGATTAGGCCAGGTTCAGACACCGAACTTTTCATGAGCTGAACCTAATACATTGAATTGAAAAGTTCGGCGTCTGATCATGAATCAATTAGGAACACCTGCTTCAGAGCCGTTCTTTTCGCATGGCCCGGCCGGGAAAATTCGCCTTTGCAGCGACTTTGGAACGGCTTTGATTCAGAAGTCGAACTTTTCATGTACCGAACCTAATGCATAAATTATTATTAATAACGTATTTTGTAAGCAGTTTGACCAAAATAACGTTCTAACTCCAAGGTTCAGGGCAAGATACGTGCGATTTGTTGTGTTGACATGGCATAACCATATATCTATGCGAGTGGAGCTTTATGGCTGTTCTGCACCATAGATGAAAATTAAGCTAACCGAGTGGTAGAGGTTCATTTAGTGTTAACCGCGTTTTGGTATCTAAGTGACGCTTCTGACCTTGTGATCTTGAATCGTTGAAAAATAGTATCTGATCGATAGAAACACCTTTTTTCTCGTCTTGTGTTATTGCACCCATATACATAGCACTAGGAAATACGCTTGCCGCGAAAAAGAATGCCCTGAAATGACGTCACAATCATTTCCAGTCTCCTGTTTTCACTTGCGAGGTTTTGTAGTGCCCCGGAAGTGAAATTTCACCTTTTCAGTAGCTCAAAACACGGGAAAGAAAAGTCACTATCGATTTTTTTTTTTGCTCTCCTTAACCGTTCACTGTCTAGATTGTGTCAAGCAAATAAAAAAAAACTTGTTTCACATTCACTTTAAACTTCAACAACAATCACCCTATTCTCTCACGGCCACTTGAGTACTGAGAAAGAAGATCATATAACACAGTACAAGAGCAAAGATGCTTGTCAGTTATATTATAGACAATCCGTTTACCTTCCTCGTCCTTTCACCTCTCCGTAGTGGAGCGCAGGCTTGGATGCGAAGGAGAAAATTGAGGGATAAAGACTTGCTCCTGCCATCGTGCGCGTCACGTTAGACGACTGGGAATGAGCCAGTCTGTTAAAGCTTTGTGAGCAGGCGCAGTAAAATGCAACACAATTGATCTGTATAAGATGGTTAAGGAGATGAATATACGAAAACAGTAGACTTTCCCTGTTAGAAACCGGAGGACGCCAAGACGCTGTGAGAGCTGTTTATATCAATTTGAGAAGATTCGAAATAAAAGTGATTATCATTTGTTGCAAATTTTTCTTTCTTTTCATTGGCCGAAAGCCCACTACGTGACCTGCAAATAACTGCCTACAATAATGGTCCGCTCATGCGCAATGTCGTCCAACTTTGTTTCGCTGCAAATAATATTCTGCTCATGCGTAAATGAAACCACGCTTTTCTCATTCTTGCGATCGCTCTTGCGTGAAAATGGCAGATCGCTTCGATTTCCGAAGATACTTCTTATAAAAACAAACCCGGCAATCGAATGATAAAACAATTATTGAACTCGGTTATCGCAAAATATCGCGAATTGTCAGTGGCGAGCAGATCAATTG